GAGGCCTCTGCCACATTAGAATCTGATTTACTTTCAGCAACTTCTTCTGATGCTTTCTCAGGTGTCTCATCCTGCTTTACTTCAGGTGCTTCCTCATCCTCATCATCATCACTTTCAATGACGAAAGTTTTTTTCGTACGCTTTTTCGTCTTGATCGGAGAATCTACTTCATCCGATGGCACATTTTTCTGCTTCAGAGGAGAGGCCTTAGATTTGGGAGCAGGACTCGTCTTCTTTTGTTTCCTGTACGAGTTTTTAAAAAAAAAAAGCAACATTTCATTTGCCGCGCATCAAATGAAATAAAGGATAAATGTGGAAATTAAGAAGATAGTGAGAACAGGAACCAATTGATCACATAATATGGCTAAGACAATTCAATGCTCAAGGCAAATTAAAACATAAATTGCACCTCAGAATCAAAAGAAACATAATCCAGATGAAGTGTTTGACTACTTTGCATGACAGATGCATCAAGAAGGCACTGTTCTGTCACAAGAAGATAGCAGATGAGGCTAAATAGGCCAAGCAGTGTAAGCAAACATTTACTTTCATGCTGGTTACTGTCAAGCTGGTAAAGAAAGAACATACTCAGTATACTGATGACAATAAATAATTGATAAAATGAAGACACTTGTATTTCCATAAAATCATATAACACATTATTACGGAAAAGTCAGAAAGCTTGTCAGTATGAGCACAGTGGAATCAAAAATTGACTTAAAGGGGTTCACACAAGAGCCAGGGGCTACTGAATATTTTTCTCTGGTACTCCTATCCCCTGGTCTCAGGGTTAGCGAGATTGGGAACCATGTCTTCTTTGAAAATGATAATTTTTCTCAACCCAAAAAAACATATTTTTAACACAGTACCGGAGATAAAGTACAATGATTAAAGTATCTTCTTCATTTAAAAGGGACAAGAAAAGAAGAATACCCTTACCTTTTATTTTTACCCTCAGCTTTATCAACCTTCTTGGAACTGTCCTTTTTCTCAACTTGCTCAACTTTGCTTGCCTTTTTTGGGCCATTTTGTAAAGCCTTATCTTGACTCTCCTCAGCTGATTTTTCTGTGGTCTTGGGCTTAGGAGCAGCAGACTTGGTGAAAAAGGACCTGCAAAAATATGAGTTGAATCTCTGTAACATGATTATGACAGATTTATTTGTAGGCATCAGTGGGTAAAACATGCATTGCCATAGTGGATAGCGACAGTCTCAAAGCTTAAGTATAGAAGACCAAGAGAAAAAAGAAAGACCTTTCACTCTCACAAAATTCTGGGAACAGGGTCCATGCCATCCCCTACAATGAGAGAATAATGAACAAGACCACAGCAGACTTCCCTTTACCTACATCACATGACCTTATACAGGGGCGAGCGCCAAATGAGAACTGGTGGAAAATCACCCAAGTTGAGATCATATCTCCACAAAATAGCGCCAGGAGACAAAGTCACAAACTACATCTGTCCTGTCGAGTCGGCAAGGAGGAGGACGAAACTATGGACCATGTGTTCCTGAGATGTCCCGCCAAATATCATGCCAGAAGCCGTCTGCTGGGACATTTCAGTAACCCACTTTCAGCACTTTTCAAGGACCCCAGAGCAAGTGTTGAGTTCCTGCGTGCTGTCGGCATCGCTAACCGTTTATGACGCCACAGCGCCAGAAGAAAAAGAGAGAGAGGGGTGCAAGCACCATAAAACACTTACCAAAACAATACCAAAAACTGAACCATATGTTCTATATTGCCATCACTCCAGCAAAGCCAACTCATGGTGGATTTGCAGGGATGGACAAAACTTTTGCTGGACTACAACCTAGGTTCAGGTCAAGCATTTTTTATTCACAACCTATATCTTGGCTCTGTTTTGTCCTGTTTTAAAGACATCTGGTTTTGATACATAACATCTGGTGCCAACTTTACAAGTATCAATGTCACTGTCAGCTATCCCTCACAATTTCCTCCCCGTTCTCAGAAAACAGGGCAGTCAGGTGAAACACATGGTGCTAATTATTCATCAAAGAATGGATCTAAGAGCAACTTTACCAACAAAGATTTAGATCAAATAGAAATAATATATTTCAAAACAATCTGCTGTCTGGCATCAGCAAAGTTTATGACTTATTGTATGAGTTAGCTAGAGGTTACATCTTATGTATGCATACATGTTTACAGAAAAAGGTTGGTATCACAAGCGTGACAGGCTAAAAGCATGACTGGCAAGACACAGCTGTCATCTCATGTTACTACTCTGTTCCAGATGACAGATCGCCAAAATCAGAAACAATCATCACCTTACAGGTAAGCCTCGATTGCTTCTCTAATACATAACACTTTGGTACAAAAAGAATCCTAGGTACTCTCCCTTGACAGTTTTTGCCTCAGTAGGTTCATCTGTATATATGGTCAAAATTATCAAAGATGGCCATCCAATGCCTACGAGAAAAGTGGTTGTCTTAGATGGATGGATGTCTGAGACAGTGTCATTACAATATCTTTAAAAAACACAAAATTTAAAGTAGGAAGTGATTGTTTCAACAGGTGATTTTCTTGGACTGGTGGCCTTTAGAGCAAGTTCAACTGTATTTATCTTACAAAAGCATGATTCATGACCTGAATGAACCAAATCTCAATCCCCAAAGACCCCTTGTTCAAAGTTTTAGTTTACCTTCGGTCTTTTTTTGCTTTGCATTCCCTTCTTTCTCCTTTTCGTCAAGCAATTTCCTCTTGCTTTTCGGTGACGTCTTTTTTCCTGTTCCCTTCAGAGACTCTTTTTTCTTTTTCTCATCAGAATTCTTTTTTACAGACTTAGTTTTCTCAGTCTTTTTGGCATCATCCTCAGCATCCTTCAACAAAAGGCATGAAAGAAAATTATACTAAAACCACTTGGATAATTAAACTAGATAATATACAAAGTAAAGTACAACTATGCAGAAATCGACTCTATGAGAAATATCATGAGGAGAGAGAGAGCAAAAGCAACCAATTAATATTACCTGATTCAAGTTTGCGCTTTTAATATAAAAATTTTAATTCAAAATAAGCACTGACCCTAGATACTGACCACATGCATCCAATCTTCTTTCTTCAAAACTTTCACTAGCAGACAACAGGGTTGGGTTGATTTAAATCAGGTTGATTTAAATCAGTTGATTTTTTTTATTTAAATCAACTTGATTTTTTAAATAAAAATCAGTGATTTAAATCACTTTTTTTTAAATTTATTTTCATTCAGTTTTTTAATATTTCAACATTCAGAATTCCTTTCCTTGGTTTCATAAAACAGATATAAGGTTTAGTAGACTAATATAATCATGCTTAAAAGTCTGCTTCCCCCCCCCCCCCTTTCACTGTAAAATAATACAGTATTCAATTTACTTTTTTTTCCCATAACTGAAATCAGAGCTTGGTTGATTTAAATCAGTTGATTTTTTTATTTTAATCAACTTGATTTTGTGATTTAAATCACTTTTTTTTTTAATGTATTCTGTTTTTACATATTTAAACATTCAGAATTCCTTTCCTTGGTTTTATTTAACAGATATAAGGTTTAGTAGACTAATATAATAATGCTTAAAAGTCAGCTTCCCCCCCCTGTCACTGTAAAATAATACAGTATTCAATTTTCTTTCTTTTCATAATTGAAAACCAGGGTTGGGTTGATTTAAATCAAGTCGATTTAAATCAGTTGATTTTTTAAAAATTTATATCAACTTGATTTTAAAAATAAAACTCAGTGATTTAAATCACTTTTAAAAAATGTATTGTTTTTACGTCTTTAAACATTCAGAATTCCTTTCCTTGGTTTTATAAAACAGATATAAGGTTTAGTAGACTAATATAATCATGCTTACAAGTCTGCTTTCCCCCCTGTCACTGTAAGTAGTAAATTAATACAGTATTCAATTTACTTTTTTTTTTCATGATTGAAATTAGCATTTTCTTTTTCTTTTTAGACAAACACAAGCGCGCGCACACACACACACTGTAATAAAATACAAGTTTATCTATGCATAATTACCCCCTCCCCCCCTTTCCTTTTAGACTGACATTTTCTTCATTTTTTGTCTGTAGCCATAATTCACTGATAATAGCAGATTAAGGCTTTCTTTCGCAGTTGCTTATATTAATCATTAGTTAAAATAAAGACAATGCATTCTGCACTAAAAGAACATACTTTTAGCCACCAAAAATCCCAAACCGTGTCGACATTTTTTTTAAATCAAAAAAATCAAAAAAATCTGATTTAAATTTTAAAAATCGATTTTTTTTTTTTAAATTTAAAAAATCAAAAAAATCACCAACCCTGGCAGACAATAATTTAAGTTATGGTAAAATGGGAAAAGGTCTAAAAGTCTCAATAGTGAGTTTTGAAAACACGAACAACGTGCAACATAGAACAAGCACTCACAGATTAGATGAACAAACGACAAAAAGAAATTCACGGCACAGCACAATCTGAACAAAATTCACCTAATTCATTTTAACAGATGATACCTTCGGTTTTTCCTTCACATCTCCATCTTTCTCATCATCCTTTTCCATCTTCACAGTCTCCACTTGGTCCTCTTCAGCTTTGTCACCATCTGAGTCGTCTCCCTTCCGCTTTTTACTCTCAGTGGGTGGACTTGTGGACTTCTCTTCACAAGACTTCCGCTTCACTCCACTGTTAGAATTCATGCTTTTCCGTGCTGGCGATAAATTTTGAGTCAGAAAATTAATCAAACAAAATTTAAGTGTAATATAAGAAGTATACCTTAAGGATTACTACATTGGTTGTTAAGTTATACTTCACCGTGAGATAATTACCAAAATGGTCACATTTCAACAGGACTTATTCTTTATCAAAAATTCATTTACAGAAGCCCCAGATTACCATAAAACAGGCTATTTTAACTATTTTGCTTAGAAAAGAGTAAGATTATATCATTAAACAGAACCAAGGGGAGTAAATGACCTAAAGTGCTCTCTTTCCACCCAAAATACAGCAACTTCAGGAACATGAAAATGCCCAGTTTACTAACAGAAATGACACTATGATGTACTGGAAGTTCAAGTACTTTCATTACTCACTACACTATAAGCATACAGAAAAGTTGAAACAAAGTAAAGAATATAAAGTATTTTTTTAAAAAGAAAATAAGATAAAAAGGTGAAGAATTTCAGGAAAAGTGTCTCCTGCACATTCAACTCCATGGAGAAATTTAGCACTGTCTAGAAGTAGAGAGCAAAGGAACAAGCAATTCAAAAGATGGCATTGTGGAATAATGCATTGGAGAAGAGCTGGCAACAAACAAATGGCTACAAAGGGTAAAGACTATCTCACTAGGAGATCCATACTAATGTATGTTGAATAAGTGTGCATGTGTCTTGAATTTAGCAATTACTTTAGCAAGACACACATAATATACTCAATACCTAGCAAACAAACTTTGTCCACTTCTTCACTCATACCCAATCCCTAATACCACTCATGCTCACATGCTAGCCACTGCTCTCCCCCCTACCCCCAACCACCTATCCACACAAACCCTCCACCATCCCCACCCCCAACCGCTTATCTCTAAATTATTCATATATGTGCAAACCCTCACCAGTTTTCCGTTTGTAGTACCCTGCTGGAGTCTTCTCAGGTGTGGCTGTCACATTATCAGATGATGTTGTAGGAGTAGTCTGAGGATTGTTGGTTGGACTCACGGCAGCTTTGGAATTCTGAAAGGAAAAAGTATAGGTTGAAAAAAAAACCCAAAAAAAAACCCAACACTAAGTAGATACTTGTGCAGTACAGAAAAATAAGTACAAAAATATCTATGATCCAAATCTTGTACTCCAGTTTTTGTGTAAATTGATCCAAATAACTTTATAAGTTCAACAAATGATATTGACTTTGGAAATGGTGGATGGTGACTGTCATTTATTGTTTTGAAGAAAGGGTTTAATACATAGTGTTCTGAGGCAAAACATTGCGTATCTATGTCTTTCTACTAGGAAGTTGGGAGAAAAAACACCTACATTTACTACAGTATTACAGTTCGGATAATTATTAGAATTTGACACATAATAAACTTTTCTGAGTGCTCTCACATTAGCCTTGCAAAGGTTCAACATGATCTAAATACTTAACAAGAGAGTCCATAGCTATATTTAAGAGTAACAAAATGGGTTTTTTCCCTTATTAGCTACATTATATTATACTATTCAAAATAAATAAGACACAAAATCAAAATGACTAAATATGATATATGAATACCACAAAGCACTTGATTTAATTATTATATATATATTTACAAATACATTTACAACATAAGGCAAGTGTCCAAACCACAAAGGAATAAAAAAAAAAAATAAAACAACGATTAAGAAAGAAATATTAACTTCTACATACTTCTTTCTTTGGCGTATTCTCGACAGAAGATTTATCTGGAGACGAGGCCTCTGCCACATTAGAATCTGATTTACTTTCAGCAACTTCTTCTGATGCTTTCTCAGGTGTCTCATCCTGCTTTACTTCAGGTGCTTCCTCATCCTCATCATCATCACTTTCAATGACGAAAGTTTTTTTCGTACGCTTTTTCGTCTTGATCGGAGAATCTACTTCATCCGATGGCACATTTTTCTGCTTCAGAGGAGAGGCCTTAGATTTGGGAGCAGGACTCGTCTTCTTTTGTTTCCTGTACGAGTTTTAAAAAAAAAAAAGCAACATTTCATTTGCCGCGCATCAAATGAAATAAAGGATAAATGTGGAAATTAAGAAGATAGTGAGAACAGGAACCAATTGATCACATAATATGGCTAAGACAATTCAATGCTCAAGGCAAATTAAAACATAAATTGCACCTCAGAATCAAAAGAAACATAATCCAGATGAAGTGTTTGACTACTTTGCATGACAGATGCATCCAGAAGGCACTGTTCTGTCACAAGAAGATAGCAGATGAGGCTAAATAGGCCAAGCAGTGTAAGCAAACATTTACTGTCATGCTGGTTACTGTCAAGCTGGTAAAGAAAGAACATACTCAGTATACTGATGACAATAAATAATTGATAAAATGAAGACACTTGTATTTCCATAAAATCATATAACACATTATTACGGAAAAGTCAGAAAGCTTGTCAGTATGAGCACAGTGGAATCAAAAATTGACTTAAAGGGGTTCACACAAGAGCCAGGGGCTACTGAATATTTTTCTCTGGTACTCCTATCCCCTGGTCTCAGGGTTAGCGAGATTGGGAACCATGTCTTCTTTGAAAATGATAATTTTTCTCAACCCAAAAAAACATATTTTTAACACAGTACCGGAGATAAAGTACAATGATTAAAGTATCTTCTTCATTTAAAAGGGACAAGAAAAGAAGAATACCCTTACCTTTTATTTTTACCCTCAGCTTTATCAACCTTCTTGGAACTGTCCTTTTTCTCAACTTGCTCAACTTTGCTTGCCTTTTTTGGGCCATTTTGTAAAGCCTTATCTTGACTCTCCTCAGCTGATTTTTCTGTGGTCTTGGGCTTAGGAGCAGCAGACTTGGTGAAAAAGGACCTGCAAAAATATGAGTTGAATCTCTGTAACATGATTATGACAGATTTATTTGTAGGCATCAGTGGGTAAAACATGCATTGCCATAGTGGATAGCGACAGTCTCAAAGCTTAAGTATAGAAGACCAAGAGAAAAAAGAAAGACCTTTCACTCTCACAAAATTCTGGGAACAGGGTCCATGCCATCCCCTACAATGAGAGAATAATGAACAAGACCACAGCAGACTTCCCTTTACCTACATCACATGACCTTATACAGGGGCGAGCGCCAAATGAGAACTGGTGGAAAATCACCCAAGTTGAGATCATATCTCCACAAAATAGCGCCAGGAGACAAAGTCACAAACTACATCTGTCCTGTCGAGTCGGCAAGGAGGAGGACGAAACTATGGACCATGTGTTCCTGAGATGTCCCGCCAAATATCATGCCAGAAGCCGTCTGCTGGGACATTTCAGTAACCCACTTTCAGCACTTTTCAAGGACCCCAGGGCAAGTGTTGAGTTCCTGCGTGCTGTCGGCATCGCTAACCGTTTATGACGCCACAGCGCCAGAAGAAAAAGAGAGAGAGGGGTGCAAGCGCCGTAAAACACTTACCAAAAAGGAAAAAAAAACCTGTAATTTTTCCCATTACTTTTACACTTTTGAAAGGTTACTTGAGTAACACAATGTGTCACCTACTCAACACTAACTACTCAGAACGTCAGAGTTGCTCCAGTCCTGATGAGTGATAAGTATGTCGAGACGAGGACAAAAAACAAACTGACTGTGACAGCCCGCCGCAGTGTGGACCATTACTATCATCATCATCATCATCATGTCAGGGTTTTACACCTGCACGCAGATGCACCGTTTTGATGGCTTAACTGCCGTAATTTTTGCTGTAGGACACAGGCCACTAAAACCGTCGCAAATCAATTGTAGTCAAGAAAACATAAAACCTAATTGCGAAACATCAAATTACGGTGAAATACTCAAGCACCCCTGAATCCCCTCTGATTATCTGATTTTATTTAGGTCAGGGTGGCACACCTGAAACCCCCAAAGATGTTAAAAAGAGTCAAAAATATTACTACGCAATTGGTTCTACGGTGTACGTTCGAACAAAAATAACCAAACATATCTCATAAACTACTAATTTGCGGTATGTAGCCAAAGTTCATGCTAAGCAAATAAACGAGATAAGAGCTTTAGAATAGAACTAGAGACGGGTCCATGAGTATTTTTTTAAAATACTTGTAAAACTCCAAATAAGGGGAAAAAATTGTTAAAATTAAAATTTTAACTAAATTAGTTAAAAAAAGGAATTCAGACTCAAGAGGGCTGTTCTCTGCCAATTCGTTTGGATAAAAATTACGATGTACCTAAATTCTCTAAACTTAACTAAAACTAGATCTACTAGACTCCTATTAACCTAAACAAAAAACACAGTATAATACGTCCACAGCGCTGAGTATGTCGTAGTTTGCAGGCTACGTTCACGGCGCCATGAATCATCAAGCATCGGCACAAAGGCACGACTGAAACGCTACGGTCGCTCAAATTTAAGTGAATAGTCATTAAATAGGTAATTAAATAGGTAAAGAACACAGGAACAGACAAGTGGATAGCTAGAGAGCGACAACTAAATGTAGTGTGTTCGGTTCAGTTATATCTGTGATTGTGCAGCATCCTTCTTCCGCCTAGATTGATTATGATGCTGTACACTACATAAACTGAGAAGAAGAAGACAAAGAGTAGGCCTACGTACGAAAGCAAGTTCAAACAAAGTCAAACAACGCAGTGCAAATGATCGACCGTTTCAATCTGGATTGTTTCTTTTAAAGTTTTGTAAGACCGCTTAATAAGAGATCAGGTGGTGATAGGAGTAAGAGAAGAAAGCTTAAGAGAAAAGTTTTTGGAAGAAAAAAATCTCACCCTAACAAGGTGTCTAGATATAGGATGAGCATATGAGTCATCTAGGACACAATCTTTAAATTTTTTAAGCACTTACAAGAGATTGTTGGACTCAACAGGATGCTGAGCAGCAAATGGAGTAGATCTCTGGATATAATTCGAGACTGCAAGGTTTGCAAAAGGATACTGTGGTGAGGTGCAAAAGCAGTAGATCTATACCCGGGGGAAGCACTAGGAAAGACTCTAAGAGAAGTTCAAGCTGGGAAACTGAGCAAATCGCGAGCTGTTATAAAATCATAACTAATTTTTTTATCACGATCAGATGATGCTGCGGGCATCCCCCTTGCGAGGTCAAACAAGATGGCTGTTACTATAAATATCGGCCAATGGCATTTAGTTGTCGTTCTCTAGCTATCCGCTAGTCAGGAATAGATTTACTTGTGTGAAAAATAATGACATTTATGCAGCGGTGGTCTAAATGCAAGAGTTTACGGAGGGCAAAGGCGGGCACCGCAAAACAGGTGCGGTCAAAAAGGCCTCGTTCACTTAACGCGCTGAACACGACTTTGATCCTCTTCCTGTGTGCGGACCAGGCAACCCTCAACAATTTAAAAATTAAAGTCGTTCGAAGAAACAAGGAAGAATCATATTATATGGCATGGAAGAAGGCCAAGGCAGGAAGAGGGGCGAGAGGGGGTGAAAAAAAGAAGCAGCAAGGAAAATGGTAGGAGGTGAAGTGAGTAAGATCATTCTTAAAATGCAAACTAGATCTAGATCTAGATCTAGATCTAGATTACATTCAGGGTTATGTGAACGTAGCCTAGATCTAGATTGGTCACTGCGAACAAAAAACAACAAGGACAAGAGTCTTGACAAATCAAATCTGCTAGAGTTAGAGACGACGAGAGTCTAGATCTAGCTAGAGTAGAGTCTAGATTCTAGACCTAGAATCTAGATCTAGATATTAGATCTAGAATCTAGACTAAATCTAAACAGTAGGCCTATTTGGATACTAAAAATTGATAATTTCCTTACGTAATGGCCCTCTGCATGTTTACTGTATATATGTATTGTTTGTAGAAAGGCGTGGATAATATAACAACAATAACACGATCACAGTGTACTCTCAGTCAGTCAGGAGACTTAGATTCCCGCCATGTTACCAAGAAACTGGCAGTTGACAGGATTTTGGAGGAAAACTGCTAGGCCTAGGATCGAAGTCATCATCGTGCAATTCATATTTCGTATTTTTGCTGAGGATCCATGGGTACAAAGGCTCGTCCTGGGATGGTGAGACGTGAGAGCAAGGAGTTGTTTTTGTTGTTGTTGGGGGGGGGGGGGGTTGGAGAAGGGTTTTGCTTTCTTTAATCTTGGTTTTTATTTCCTTTTGGCTGACTCTTGGGGGGGAAAAAAACAATAGAGAGGCCGAACCAGTGAGTCGTTGAGGTAAAAATAATGATGAATGTTTGAGGTTGTTTGATAATGAGTGGAGGGAAAGGAGGAATTAAGGACACGAGTGCTCGCACTTTCATTTTGTCATAAGAAGGTATGAAATTCCAATCTGGCTGTCCGGAGTCCGTGGTGACGAAAAAATGGCTCATATTTTTTTCAAAACTCCTTTCATTAAGAGAAAACAACTTTCAAAAGACTGCCTTTTAGTCCCACAAATAACGATGAGTAAGCAACAAAAATTATTTTAACTACAGAAACGCAAAGGTTGCGTAAATTGTGTGATTTTGCGAGAATTTGAAGGTGAAGTTCATTTCATGCTTCGTAGTCCAGTGCATTGGGGCCTGAGCGCAGGGGGTGGGGGTGAGGGGGACTCCTTCAAAGTTTATTTTGTTTATATCCGCACATGTTCTGTATTTATTTTGCAGCAGACACAAAACAGTAGTTTCGAATGTTGCTCCATTTCCGTGTTTATCCAAACGGAGGGTGGAAAGCTATGGAATGTATAATAACGTGTGTGATATGTGACTATGCGTAGTTTTGATATGTGGGTCTGCACTATACCCGTTTGGGTAATGATATATATTGTCAGTTAGCCTACTATTTATTATATTCCGAAAGGTAAGGGGAACAAACAATCAAAGACGCAACAATATCAATAATACCCCCCCCCCCACCCCCCACCCCCTCTCTCTCTCTTCTGTCTGTATGTCTGTCTGTCTGTCTCTCTCTCTCTCTCTCTCTCTCTCTCTCTCTCTCTCTCTCTCTCTCTCTCCCCCCCCCCCCCCCCGGCGACCCCCCGTTCTCGCACGGTGTGTCTGTATACGTGCGTACGTGTGTGCGTACGTGTGTGTGTGTGTGTGTGTGTGTGCGCGCGCGCGCGTGTGCGTGTGTGCGCGCGCCCTGTTTAGTTCGTAATAATAGCCTTACTTATATTAAAGGGTTGATGAACTAAGATTTGTTGGAATGGAACGTGGCGTTCTATATAGGCCTCACGTGTCACAAAAAATCTAAAAGTTTGACAGCAGTAGTTTAGTCTGTTATCTTATATAATAACCATAATATAGGTTTCGGTGAGGGTATCGACTTGAGATTCCGTTTTTCAATACATAGGCCTACATAGCACACTATAGTGCACGCTTTGGAGGTGGGGTGCGAGCGAGGGGGGGGGCATATTTATTGATACATAATATTAATAACATTTACTGATAATGTATTCAGGTCAGGGTATGTGATAAGGCCTACTCACAAGCTCATAAAGTACCATCACTAGATAAGATAAGAAAATTAAATTTGTCTGAAGACAAAATTAATGCACTACCAGTAAATTAGGGTCCCAACTAACTCGAATTTAGCTCGGGTGCAGTGTAAACAATATCTTCTCCACAGTAAGCGTTAAAAAATGTAAATATTGGGGTTTTTTAAAACCACTTTAAAATCCCTGCATGCATATTAACTGCCACCATCACAGTATGGCTCTCTCAACAATTTTAAGGGATTAATGAACAGTTTATAAAGTTAGCCAGCTTTCTCGAGCAGGAGTTCCTATCTGATTTTCCTCTCGTTTGAAAATCAACCCCATAAAAATGCAACCTCCAATAAACAACAACATATGGCATTGCAGCTGGCTGCTCAATATCTGGCTTCTGATTCATCCTGGTCATGGATATACAACTGAGATCATGTTGGCTATTCTGGAGGAGAAGCACCGAAGAAGGCTTTTATGAATGGTGTGACCTTATTGGCAAGACGTGTAGACACAATGCAGAGTGTTTTGCCTCTGCTGGATGAGCTGATCACTTGGTTCAGGATGAGGTTTAAGCCAATAGATCTTGAAGCCTGACTTTTCTTAAAGGGAGGCAGAAATACCAGAAGTTCAGAATTGCAGTTGATCAATGTCCGCGGTAAAAGATGAACCTTTGAAAAGTTTGGGGTAGTGGTATGCAGGAATTCTATCTGACAGGAATCAAAGTTGAAGTAAGGTTGGAAGTGATTGACTGGACAAAGCCGCCAAGAAAGCATACGATATGGTGTCTACAGTTTGCCCTCTACCTTCGCCTGGCATTGTCGCTGACAATGTACGAAGTCGTCTTGTCGAGAGTGTGAGGTGATGGAGAGAACAAACAACACCTACATCAGAAAGTGGCTTGATCTATCTAATCAGCACGCCATCCTTACACAGACAGAAAGGCGCGCTTCAGCAACCCCTCACATCCATTGAGGAGATCTACAAATTAGTAAAGATCGGGGCGATGAGGATGCTGACAGAATCGAAGGACCAGGAAATCAGAGATGTCTGAGCAGCGAGGGCGGAGGACGCAGTCTACGAGATAATGATATGTCTTCTTTGGGGCAGAGCGGCATTATTGTCGGCTCAATACAGACCAACTGGTTGGGACGAGGTAGCAGCGACTTCAGACCTTTCAGGAAGATGTCTGACAGGCGGTGCCCACTGGAGGATCGGTTCGGTTCGGTTCGGGTCGAGTCGGATCGGTTCGATGGGACAGAAGAACAGCTGCAGCAAGCAAGGCAGGTGCTAAAGATTGAGGGAGAGGAGTAAACATAATCTCATCCAGTGTGCCCAGAAAGGCTAAGTGACCAGTTGGGAAGAGCATGTAGATGAAAGAAAGGTTGGCTGGTGTGAGATCTTGAAGTGGAACACATGCATGAGACTCTGCTCTCTTTTCCAGTCCATTTATGACGTTCTGCCTTCACAAATGGACTCAGTCAGGTGGAAGGTCTCTGAAGACGACTGAGATATCATAGCCTAAGCATACAATTGAGCATTTGTTTCGACAATTTTCAAATCAACCTGTTGAGAAAAATCTCCTTCTCTCTCTCTCTCTCTCTCTCTCTCTTTCTTTCTCTCTCTCTCTCTCTCTCTCTCTCTCTCTCTCTCTTTCTTTCTCTCTCTCTCTCTCTCTCTCTCTCTCTCTCTCTCTCTCTCTCTCTCTCTCCCTCTCTCTCTCTGTCTTTGTCTCTATCTCTCTCTCTCTCTCTCTCTCTCTCTATCTATCTATCTATCTGCCTGTCTATCTATCTATCTATCTATGTTAGTGCCTCTATACAATAAGCGCTTAGCAATCATAACCCCCCCCCCCCAAAGTCCCCCCCCCCCCCAAAAAAAAGAGCAATGTCGGGGCTGCTTAAATTCACATTAAAACGTAGGCATTACATAAATTATTACAGGCCTATAAATGGACCGAGAATTTTCGAGGAATGGAATATATAGGCCTAATACAGCATTCCTTTGGAAAATTAGAATGGTATTGTGGAGCTAGACCGTAGTGAAACAGAGTTTTAATAAATGAGATTATGATATAAATGGATCATACATTTCGAGACGTTTTCCTTCAGTGAATGAAAGAAGTTATTGTGGAGCTAGATCGTAGGCCTATTATCCTTATTGCACACGCTACAACACTGCGACCAAACATGGAGCAAATTTTTATATGTTATGGTGGAGAGTGTTCGCGCTCATATATGACCTTAAGCCCCTGAGAACGCCTAGCCTTAAGCAGTTGCGAGCGTTGTAAAACCTCTACGTACTAAAACAAACAAGTAGAGTGTTCTCTTTATTAGGACTCGAGTGAGAACATATAATATAATCTCGCTGCTAATTATTGGTTGTAGAGTCTAATTTTGTAGTTAAGGCTATCCATTATTTGTGTTGTCAAGGAGCAATTGCAATAGTTTATACGAGATTATTCAAATGGTGACATTTTATCAGCGTCTTAATAGGTGCCTCGCTTAAATAAAAATATGCCATTTGTGCAATTCCTTGAATCCGCTGTGTTCCTGGGAAAGGACGAATTTTCCTAAGTGTAGAATTCTGTGCCCTAAGTGGAACAGAGTACCCGGCACGTGTACCGGCCATAGACAGCGGAAGAAAATCTTGTCAATATGTTAATGTTAGTGTTCTAAATTAGCGCCCATAAACGGCAGAATTGAACTCTGTGCTTCCCAGGAAGTTGAGTTTGTTTCAGAATGCTCTCCCGGTCAACTGGAGGCATAATAGGCCTAGTATAGATTATGAAGCGAGCGGGGCTTTGCGCTAGATCTCTGTACAAATGCTGTCTATTAATACATGTATTATTATTATTATTATTATTATTGTTATTATTGTTATTGTTATTACTTGTTTAGAAATTGGACGTGTTGATGCATATTGTTGTCCTAAGAAATATTATAATATTATTTTCTAAGTTTAGCTTTCAATATATTGTAAATTCGGATAAGGAATCTTCTCACGATGTATTATTAGAAGAACTGTTGTGGACTAAAGGAAAGCAACCAAATTTTCTTTAAATTATTTTTAAAAATTGTTTGTTCTGCAATCTCTGAGTACTTCTACTGTCTTTGCTTCTACGCCGTACACAAGTCCAATCCAAGTGTTCCGAAACTAATTATGAAAACCGAAAATATTTTTTATTTGTTTCGAATAATGCGAAGCTTAAACATTCCACAATTTTATGTTAAAATAGGACATCACGAAGAGAATGCGTGCACAAGTGAGCCCCCTAGGCCTAGTGACGTCAAAGTTATAAAAAGAAACTACGATGTCTCAAAGAAATAGTTCGAAATCCTTAGTAAAAAAATTAAAGAAATAGTGAATTTCAACAGAATTGAAAAGATACAATTCACTGTACCTAATAAAAATGTATAGTATTTTTCATCTTTCTATAGATTTATTGCTGTCTACGATGAAATCATGTAAACAGACATGGCACTCATTATCATAAAGGTATTCATTCGCTAAAATCAACATAATTTCTAGTCTCACGTGTTGTAACCGTCTTTTGCGTTCTCCTCACCTCAACACGAAGGCGAGGTCGTTAGACGAAAACGGAATAAGTAAATTTTACAGAGTGTTTTATTTATTTTGAAGTTTATAAGAACATATATTTTACGGAGATGTCACGGAGATTCGATTCTTCACGAGACAGACGAGGTGGCGGGTAAGTACATATTTCAATTTTTGAGTTCCATTGCAATTATGGTATGGCTCTTCTGCCGGCTTCTGTCGCCTCATGGCTTGGCCATGATGGCGATGACATTGGCTACAAAGAAGAAATTCTGCTATTTCAGGAGCTGCTCATTGACTATTTAAAACATTGTATTCATCATAAAGATGACCAACGCCAAATAAAACATATATAGGGGGCTGTGAATGAATTTAATTTTGAATGAAGTGTAAAATTGATAGAGTCTATTCCCCAGCTTTGTTGAGTGCGATGAGAACGAGGAGTGCCCTGCGACGCCCGTCACTGGACTGATCCTTGATGTCTGCCAATCAATTCTTTCTTTTCTTATCGAACTGTAGATCTAGAATCTAGATTAGTGTTCTGTATATTCTAATCTAGAGTCTAGATCTAGATATCTAGATCTAGAATCTAGATCTAAATCTAGATCTAGATTAGTCTTACATAACATGACAGCATTATTATGTGGGTTTCTGGGAAATGAAATGCTTCTGTAGAATCAAATTGAAGTCGGAAGGAGGGATTCCCACTTTGTTGTCTTTCATGATTCATGGTGGCAACACGACAGCACAACGGCAGCCGGCAGCCTGCCGACTCGGATTAGTGCAACTTGCAAAAGTGATAGGTTCACAGAATGATTCTGATGCTGTACGCGTGACAGTTTACACGTAAACTGAGAAGATTGATGAGGGTAGATCTAGAAATCTAGATTCTAGGCCTACGTCAATTTGGAAAGGCCACCTCTCTATTCTCATCCGAAGAATAGCGCAGGCGAGTCTTTTGGCTATTCTCACCCGCCCGGTGTGTGTTCACACGAGAACTTTCGGTAAAAAAAAATAAAGGAAGTGGCTATTCTCATCCGGGGTGAGAATAGAAAAACGATCTACCTCTCACCCCGGGTGAGACTTGCCAGCGTAGGCTATTCTCACCCGGTGCGAAACAAGACCTGCTTTTCCTCATTTTGGAATACTATCGGTGTGGATGATCAAATTGATAAAAGCCAAGAAAAAATTACGTTATAGCACAAAAGTAAGCTAATTTGATCGTCTTCAACGATGCTATGGCTATTTCATTGTTCGAATCGAGCCGAACTACGCGGGTCGCCATTTTGTTTTGCCCGGAAGTTCTCGCAAGATCTACTCCTCCCCTCTCTCTCTCTCTCTCTGTCTCTTTCTGAATACTGTCTATCAGTGTGGATGATCAAATTGACCAAAACAAAGTTAAAAACTGATGTTAAAACACAAAAGTAAATTAATTTGGTTGTCTACAAAGATGCTACGGCTATTTAACTTTTCGAATCGAGCCGAACTACGCGGGTCGCCATTTTGTTTTGACCGGAAGTTCTCGCGCTACTCCTCTCTCTGTCTCTTTCTCTCTCTTTCCACTGCCCATACAAAATTGTACGCTTTTAGTAGGCTACAGTTGTAATGGAACGTTTGTTCACGGCACAGAATTCTACAATTTTTCTGTTATCACAGTGTAGAATTCTGTGGTTTAGGGTGAACGCAAAATTTGTTGGCCTAGATCTAGGCTATAACGGTGAACGCGCACCGGGTGAGAATAGCCAAAAGACAAGCCTGCACTATTCTCATCCCGGGTGAGAATAGAGATGGCCAAAATAAATGGCGACCCGCGTAGTTCGGCTCGATTCAAAAAGTTAGTCGTAGCATTTTTGTAGACAACCAAATTTTAATTAATTTACTTTTGTGTTTTCACATCATTTAAAAACTTTATTTTGGTCAATTTGATCGTCCGCACGGATATACAGTACTCAGAAAGACAGAGAGAGAGAGAAGGGGGAGAGGAGTCGTAGATCTTGCGAGAACTTCCGGGCAAAACAAAATGGCGACCCACGTAGTTCGGCTCGATTCGAAAAGTGAAAGTCATAGCATCTTTGTAGACGTTCAAATTAGCTTACTTTTGTGCTATAACATAATTTTTTCTTGGCTTTTGTCAATTTGATCATCCACACCGATACAGTATTCTGAAATGAGGAAAAACAGGTCTTGTTTCACAACGGGTGAAAATGGCCAACGCTGGCAATTCTCACCTGCGGTGAGAGGTAGATTCTAGATTGTATTATTCTCACCCCGGGTGAGGATAGCCACTTCCATTTGGAAAGGCTACAAAAGCAAGTTCAAAGTTCAACGATGCAGTACAAACGATTGACCGTTTTCTTTTAAAGTTTTGTAATGTAAGCACAAGAAATTAAGCACTTACAAGAGATTGGATTCGATAGGACGCTGAGCTGCAAATGGAAAAAAACTACAAATGTAGATCTACAAGGGGAAGGGGCCTGGAAACTGCCTGTGCAAACCCAGCGCAATGCAAAATCCCCACTAGGTCTCTAGGCTTATAAAATCACGATCAGATGATGCTGCGGGCATCCCCTTTGCGAGGCCAAACAAAATTGCTGTTACTATAAATATCGGCCTATGGCGTTAAGTTGTCGTTATAATCTAGTTATCCGCTTGTGTCAACTAATAGCCTACCTAGATTGTCTAGAACCTATTATAGATCTAGGCCTAATAGGCTAGATTCTAGATCTAGAGATGTAGTTCTCGATCAAATAAAATAGATCTCTAGATCTAGATATATATATGTAGATCGAGATATAGATGATCTAATTTATAATAGGCCTAGGCTATAAAATGCTAACTTTCGGCCAAGGCCTAATACGGGTAGAGGCCTACAGTTAATCCAGACAGGATTTTGACTGCAGCTGCAGTTACATCATAACGTGTGATAAGAAAAACATGTCTTGCGTCAGCCATCCGGTCCAACTGCAGTCAGTCCCCGCCTCATTTTTGGCGAGCTAAATATCTTCATCATGTGTCAACAAAGGAGCTGCTGTGTCGAGGCACGCTGGCGCTTGCCTTTGATGTTTCGTCAGGCGACGGCCCCACACTTAATGACAAAATTATTGAAAATGGCGTCCTAACACTAAAACTTATGTCAAATTTGGGTTGGATGTATCAAAATTGACGAAATGGCTCGTGAGCGACTTGTTTTATTGTGTTAAAAAAAACAAAATGCGCTGTCAAGAGTTTACATTTGACAGTTCAGCCCTCTTTAAAAGGCAATCTGTGGACCAAAGGCGACGTGGTCTTCTCTTTGGCGTATTTTCAGAACAGTGTAAATTGCAAGGAGATTGTCTCGCTATCCGCCATCCTAGAATACAGCCTGGATTTTTACTTCAGTATGAAGTAAACTGGGTGACCTTTATTTTGTCGCAAACGCAGTATCAGTATGAGATTAACTTCAGTTAATAAAATTTAGCTATTGCACCTTCAGCAAATTGACCAACTGCAGTTGACTACAGCATGGCTGCGGTAAAAAAATCCTGTCCGGACTAACTGTACGTGGAATCCACCCATGAGCCTGAACAAATTTGAATAATACAGATCTGCCACTCATCCTGATTTAATCGAAATATCTCGATATTTTGCTTCAATCTCAAGCATCACTATTTGGATGGTGTGTATCCCGATTTATTTGTGCTGTCTGTTGCACTGGACTTTTCTAAAAACTAACTCTGCCTGCTCTTTTGCGGGAAGCACCCTTTAAACTTTTTGTCAGCAGGAACTCAGAGCACATTGCCCCCCCCCTGACCTAACAAAAACGTGGCCGGGGGGGATATCCCCCCAGAATTTGACCATAATTTGATGTTTTGCAATTACGTCATCGTACTGTCTTTGTTATCACTTTGCCAGCCTATGCTGGGGAAGTGGAAGGAGATTAGACCCATAATTATATAATTTGGTTTTGGTTTCATTTTCAACTGTGTGCGCTGGATTTTTGTTGTCTGTCTTAGAACAAGTTATAAGAACTGATGACATAATGAGAATAATGGTAATATTTTATATTTTTGATATTGCAAATAAGATATGATTTATGTGTGTAAGTATTGGGTTTTTCATTGTTTGATTTTTCACTTCATGTAATGTAACACGTTTTATTTTATTTTGCCTGGAGTTCCATTAGTCATTAGTCACAAGGTGTTCTGTGGAAATTGGAGTTATGTTCTGGTACACTAGTGACATGTCATCAAGTGTTTGCTACGACTTGCATTGAAAGCATGTTTTTGTTTATTGTGAATAAAAAAAAAATACTTGTGATTTTTCTTTCAGAAGAGATGGTGGTTCCAGAAGAGGAAATAGCCGCGACAGAGACTATGGACGTGGTGGAGGTGGTGGTGGCTTCAGAGGTTCAATGAAGGGATCTCAGCCAGGAGAACGACTAAGGAAACCAAGATGGGATATGGCCACCCTTCAAAAGTTTGAAAAGAACTTTTACAAAGAACATCCTGCTGTTACCAACAGATCACCGGTTAGTGTTTTCATTTTTTGGATTGGTTTAAAAAAAAAAAAATTTTTTTTAATAGAGAGAGGTTGCTATAAGTATGATTTGTCCTTTTATTGGTCAAAATTATGCCATGCTTGTTTCAAGTTTATGTAAAAAAGATGTCGCCCATGGGGCATGATCTTATAGCAATGCCAATCGCCTGCTGCGCCTTGGGCCGGAAATTGGCCTCCGCACGAGGGGTAATTTTTGGGCTGCTCGGAATCAGAAGTGACTCTTCTAAGTAAAATTACAGGAAAACTTGTGGACGAAAATAAATGAAACTTGGCAACCAATCAGAGGAAAAGTAAAACTAACGACATGCCAACGTACAATCTCGAACTGTTTCTAGAACCGGAGAAATTGCCCTGTTTGTGCAAATTTCCTCTGCGGTTCGAAAACTAAGCGGGGCTGCTGGTTGATCGCCAACCACACAGGTGCCCATGTCTTCTTTATTGCTGTAAAATTTCAGATCTCTGCATATAGTACATTTTACGTACCAACTTAAAATTACCACCCATCCATTGATAAAACACTAGAGCTGGAAACTAGATCACAATTTCTAAACGCAAGGTGCTGGCATGCAAGAGGCTCATGATCGTTAAGCGGCATGTGATTGGCTGCCTATAACTAAATATGCCACGATGACTATCGCAGGTTTTCCAGATACCGCTTTACTGGGTGATCGCGTTGCAGTAAAAAAAACGGTCACGCAAATAAGTCTTTAAGATCCAAAGTTATAAAGACATCGAAAAAGTGATAGCAGAACTAGATTCTGCACTAAAAATGACATGAAGATGCCAAGTTTCTTTCATCATATACTCCAAATCGTTACTGACTTATGAAGTTTTTCCTCAAAACACATCAAGACATGTCCAGGGCTGCCAACCATTCGGATTTTGTCGTAATCATTGATTTTTTAGCCTCTCTATGAAATTCCGATCGTAAGGCGATTTTTTACGATTTTTACCGTCTGCAGATTTTTGGCTATAAAAAAATATATTTGGGCTCTTTTTTTATTTTACAAGTTTTAGTGCAAACGTGTAAATCGTCCGCCAATAGTCGGAAAACTGCCAATCTTTAAATCGACCCCATGTCCCCCCCAAAAAAGGAACAGCTGGCCCACTTCGCGCGAGTTAATCTTGTCCACAATAATACCGTACACGAGTAGAAGCATCGCTGCCTTGCTACTGAGACCCAAGCAGTCTAAAAATAGATTTTATCGATTGACCCTGGCCGACCCGCGGCGTGAGACTGATTCTTCGCCCCGCTCATTTTTCCGTAAATAAAACATTTTTGTTCATTGCAATTATAGTAATTTGAAAATGAGAGCACTATTACTAATTTTTATAGGAAATTACGAATTTTCTTCATGGTCATTACTAAAAACCATGGAGATGGGTTGGCAGCCCTGCATGTCCCACATTTTGGCGATATTTTAAAATTTAAAAACCATAGTTCTTAGAATTTACTTTATTTTCATTTAAGCCCATTTTAAAACGATTTAGATGAAAATTTAATTTTTCATTTTCATTGCTTGATCTTTTTGTTTTAAGCTGAAATGAAGATTCTGTCTCAAAGGACTAATAGTGGGTTGATAGCAAAAAGTATCACCAGTGCCAGTGCACTTTTTTTCTGTTTCGAATTTTGTCGCAATGTAAATTTACCTGCAGATATAGAGAATTCCTGTCTGTGTGAATCAAGTTTTTGACACTTATGTTTTTAGGGGGCACCTTCTTGACTAAATGTTGCCTCAATTTTGCAATTTATCTTTTTGCAGATGGAGATCCAGCAGTTTCATGGAGACAAGCAAATTACCATTTCTGGCAAGAGCATACCAAACCCTATCTTCACATTTGAGGAGGGAAATTTTCCAGGTAGATACTTCACGTTGACACCGCTAAGTTATTATAATGCTTTGATTATTATATTTATTGCTATTTTCAGTGAGGTGTTACATTTTGGAACAATATGTTTGTAGTGATACGCTGTTTTTGTTTTGTTTTTGTTTCTTAAATCTTTGTTGTCACTCCCGAATCAGTCTTGGAGAATTTCTCTATTTCAAAACTGTTCAAGCAATGGGAACTAAAAGAAAGCCTTAATGTATGTATGCATTGTTTTCAAATCTGCTTTTTGTTTCATTCCTAATTTTGAGCTTATTGTATGAGTGGTATTGTATTTCATTTCGTTTGGAAAACACAGGAAGAAAATGTTTATTAGATGGTACTTTCATGGGTTTTGTTAGTTTCCCTTCTTTATTATGTGATCATTGTGTTTCAGATTATGTCATGAGTCAGATACGTAGGAACAGTTGGCAGTCACCCACAGCAATTCAAAGTCAAGCCTGGCCTATTGCTCTTTCGGGAAGAAATTTGGTTGGAATTGCCCAAACAGGCTCTGGAAAAACATTGGGGGTAATTCCTTTTCTCAAAATGCGTTTTGTGTGTATATGTTGTTGTTTTGCATTGCTCACTCACCTGTACCATTATTAACTTGTAATGGTATTTTTATTGCGATGCAACAGTAAGACCATGAAAACTTTCCCTTGATGCATTTTGTATTAAGCGGTATACAACATGGCACAATGACATTTATTTTAAGTACTGATATTTTTCATGAAAGAGGTTGACAAATTCGCTTTGACTAGTTTTGGATAAGCGATTTTTAGACTTATTTTGTCAAATGTTGTATTTTACTTAGTATCTTGAGAAATCATTTAAATAGGCCTCTTCAATTTATCTTTTTATTAACTTTTTTATCCCAGTTCATCTTACCTGCCATTGTGCATGTGAACCACCAGCCTTACTTGGAACATGGAGACGGCCCAATAGTAAGTGATGTCTTGCCTGTCAAAGTTGTGGTTTAGGTTATCTGACAGTTTAAATTTTGATGACATGTATTGCTCATAAATGGTAGGGTCTTATTGATATCTTCTTGTCTGAGGTGTTTGTATGTTACATGTCTACTGTTTGTTATTGTTGGAGGTATTTAGAGAGTTAGACTAAAGGAACGTGACTTTTTGCACAAGAACTATGTCAGTTTACGTTTTTCTAAGAAACACGCTCACTATGGCTATGTGGGTGATTGGCAGGTGCTCCGGTGTGTTTTGCTCCTTCTTTCCTATCGAACATCTATCGTCTTTATATCTCCCCTCCTTTTTTGTGTTTGTTACTCCCTTGTAACATCTCTATCTTCGTCACTTATAATATGACCTTATTGTGTTGCAAGTGCCGTAAAACTCTGATGAAAACAACAAACAAAAAGAAAACTATGGATATGGTTTGCTCAGTATGGGTGTTTTCTTTGTGCACTTAATATCATTCAAGCTGGGTGGTTGGCGGGTGCTATGGTGTGGTTTGCTTTTTTTCCTGTCAAACATCTGTCGTCTTTATCTCCCCAATTTCTTTTTTGTGTATGTTACTCTCTTGTAACACCTAATTTTTGGCCCTTAGATGACCTTATTGTGTTACAAGTGTTGTATACCACTTACTAAAAACCAGGAACCCCCCCCCCAAAAGAACAAGTCATATTCTTGTTGTGTCTGTCATGTCACATTAGGATAATGTCAGAGGGGTGAGTTGTTCAGGGTATCACTAATTCCTTGCACCAGCTGGAAAATAAGCCTGATCATTCTCTTTTTAGATATGCATTTGTTTTGTGGTTATTTCTCAGATGCAGGTGGAGTGCATGAACTAATGTTTCTTTTGAACTTGTCTTTGCCTGACAGGTTCTTGTGCTGGTTCCAACAAGAGAATTGGCACAGCAGGTGTTGGAAGTCTCTAATGAGTTTGGCAGAGCATCACAGTTGAAGACAGCTTGTGTGTATGGTGGAGCTCCTAAGGGACCACAGCTTCGAGATTTGGAGAGGGGTATGTGTAGTGTGGGGACCATAGTACTTGAATAACATGTGCTCAGGTTAGGTTAAGTTTGTGTGAATATTATATTGGGAGTAATTTTGCTTGTTTTCCTATTATTGAAGAGTTGTTTCTTAATGCTGGCTACGAAAGAATCCCAATTTTGGGGAAGGGATGTTATTTTAATTAAGAATTTCTTAATTTCGAAACAGACAGCTATTCATCCAATGTTATCCCCCTCCCAATACCCTTTATGAGGGATTGTGTGCGTGGGTTTTTGGTGAGCCTTAAGATTTTTTATCGTAATGTGTGTCTTAATTGTGTGGGTAACATTTTATTTTAAGTTTCAGCTTGTATCATCCTATTAGCATGAATTGATCAGTGTCAAATTGTGGTCTTGTTGAAAAAAAAATAAAATTAGGAACTGGAATTTGAGTTTCCTGTCATTTTTTCAGGTGCTGAAATTTGCATTGCAACTCCAGGCCGTCTCATAGATTTTCTTGAGGCAGGCAAGACTAACCTCCGCAGAACTACCTACCTCGTGCTTGATGAGGCAGATCGTATGTTGGACATGGGATTTGAGCCCCAGATCAGGAAAATTTTGGACCAAATCAGAGTAAGTTAAATCATGAATCTTGTGGAGAGGGTTCTTTAGGAAGAGGTGATCAAACGGTTTAGTTATGAATTTTTGACATTCTGCCTGTGGCAGTGCGTATATAAAGTAAAAGTTTTACTGGATAAAATTTGGACACCGCTACTCATCAGCCTGAATTATTTGATGGATTTTTCTGAACAGCCAGAATTAAATAATTTTGACATTGCTTAAGCTCTATCGTTTCTGTATCATCAACAAATTTGAATCTAGATTTAACTCAATCACTATGCCAAAAAATTGTCTGCAACTCCAGGGTGAGGTTGGACTTGAAAAAAGCAGATTTTAAAATTCCGAAATTGCCTGACACAATGCGCTTCCATTAAAAAATACCAATTTAAGTGTCAAGTTTTTGTTTAAAAAATGGCCATTATTACAAACGTGGATTTGTGTATTTAATTATGGGTGGTGAAAACATGTTCTGTGTCATTCTGGCGGAAGGAGGTAAATGTAAAAGACTTCGAGCTTGTTGTTCTGGCTGATAAAAATTTAGAGTACAGCAAACCATTTGCATTTTTATTCAGTCTTGTTGAATGATTATGTTGTGTTGAATGGGGTGTTTCATTCTGTACCCTTTTAAAAAAAAAGTTCATTCTTATTTTAAAATATTTTTTTTTGGTCATTGGTTTTGTTTTATATAACATGACTTGCAAAAGTATAAGCGCGACAAGTTTTAAATTTTGCCTTGAAATATTTTCACAGCCTGACAGACAGACTCTTATGTGGAGTGCCACGTGGCCCAAGGAAGTTCGCCGGCTTGCAGAAGAATTCCTCAATGACTACATCCAGGTGAACATTGGTGCCCTGCAGCTGACTGCTAACCACAACATTCTACAGATCATTGATGTATGCATGGACCATGAGAAAGAGGAAAAGTAAGTAAACTGTTTTCTACTGCTGATCCACTTCCCTCCTGTGCCTGTTAACTACTTAATAGGAATGGGCTACCTTTTCTTTTTTATACGAGTAAATGTTTGTTTTACAGCACAAGTACTGCTTTTGGTTTTATGATAGTTGGTATGACGCCTTAAATGTTTTTTTTTTAGTTACAATGTTCAATAATAATTGCATTTAATTTTTTCTAGTTTTGTCTTTTTATTCAATTGTGCCTTGATTTAATTTTTCACATTTTTGTTTCTACAGACTTGTGAAACTTCTGAATGAAATCATGCAGGAGAAAGAAAACAAAACTCTCATATTTGTAGAAACAAAAAGAAAGGCTGATGATATCGCCCGCCGAATGAAGCGTGATGGGTAAGTTTGTTTTTCTTTTAACCATTAATTTTAGAATGTTCAGTTTTTAGGGTAATATTTTTTATATTTTTTTCAAAAATTCATTTGACCTCAAACTGACACAGTGATATGCAAAGTGGTTTGATGTGATTAAATATTTTTCTAGTGTTTTCGGTCTTTAACACATGGGTGCCAGACCTTGTGTTGCTTGCGGGAAGACCCTCATGTATGGCTCAAGTGGGAAGAAAGCCTTTCGTGATCATGCTTTGGACACTGGACACAAAAACCGTTTGAACTCCGTGACAAGAAACTGCAGGCTCTCATGTAATTTCTAGATCTAGACGTTATGAGAATCATGTTTCAGTTTCAGTCACCCCCCAAATACACTACTAGATTTAGATTTCAGTCACTCTCCATGACTGAAGTTTATGGTATGAAGTATATTCCTGGCTTTTGCTGGTTTCGAAATGTGTCATGTTAAAATTTTTTCCTGATCATTGTTTTTAATTAGGGCAAAAAATCGATAGGCTAATTGTATGGCAGGCATAAATTCCAATATTACGTTGTCTGTTTAATGTTTTGTAACAAAGTGCTAATGAGATGATTTTATGCTTCAGGTGGCCTGTGTTGAGCATCCATGGTGACAAATCTCAGCAAGAGCGTGACTGGGCTTTGAATGGTAAGATTTTTTGTGTGTTAAGGTTTCACTATTCTAGAACGTGAAGAATGCACTAGTGTTCAGTGGGATGCCAAATGTCCGGTTTTTCCGGTTTTTTTTTTCATCCTTTGGAATTGCAAAGGAAAGGTGAGAGGTAAGAGAATGTGTTTTTGTTCGCTCATTTAAAAGCTTTACAAGGTTCGGTTAAGGTGAGATGTGATGCTCCGCTCATTAAAAATTTTTTTTTTCAAAAATCATTTGGCATCCCTGATGTTATACAAGATCTTGCAAGATTGAGTCCTTCATGTATCTCTTTTTGTCACCCTCAGATTTCCGCAATGGCAGAAATCCTATCCTTGTTGCTACAGATGTTGCCTCTCGGGGATTAGGTAAGATGTCAAAACTGTTCTATTTTCTGTTTGAATAAATTAGGGGCAGGGGTTATATATGGTTTCACTTAAAATTCAGGAGTTTGTTTTTATTTTGTCCTGGAGTTTGCGACTCCAAAAGTAGAAACAAAGATTTATGAAATGAGCTCCCACCCTCCAAACATTCACCACACACTTCATTTGCATCCTTTCTTGATAGGTTCTGTGAGTTTGCCTATCCACAATGAAATATGTGTGTTGTGTATTTAGTATTGCTTTAGATTGTTTTTGTTACTTGGTGACTTTTCTTCATGAATGTGTTTTGAATTGATTTTTTTTTTTTTTTTCAATACGATTAGGAGATTGTCATCAAAGAAATTTTTTTGGGTAATAGTTTTAGTCTCTATTGACCATTGCCTATTAGAGAGGTTTAAAGATTATTTTTGTGAGTTGAGATGTTCATGTTGTATATTTTGTCTGATAAATTGTAGGATTAACTTGGCATGTGGTCTTGAGTGTTAGTGCATTTATGCTTTTTGATAACTTCAGTTCCTCCTTTCAGCAGCAAGTGTCCAGCAGCCACAATTAATTGTTACAGTTTTTGTACAAGGGGCAAGCTGAAGTGTTATTGCCTTCGTACTTACGACTTGATTATCAGTAACTGTTAACTTGTTTTTTAATAGACTCATCTCTCTTGTAATACCACTTTCTTTTATAGTTCTCTTGGGTCTTTTATATTTTCTTGGTTTAGGATTTACTTCAGGGGTGGGCAAACTTTTTCGATAGTTGGCCATTTCGACTAGACCACAAACATCAAAAGGCCGTATCATTTACAAGTTGACTTGGTGTGCTAGGCAACCTTATATTTAAACAAAAATTTCTATAATTTATAGAAAGAAAACTAGTCTTGGCCCTACTGTACATGAATAGTAATAGATGTGACCGCTGTAAAAATTGCCGAATGTTTCTGCGAGCTTCACGAAACTACCGTGATAAGAAGGGCCATAGTTTGCCCACCCTTGATCTACCTGATACACAACATTGTTTTCATCTCTTAAATGAATGCTAAGTTTAACAAGTACACATATATCTGATCAGCCTGACATAGAATCTTTAATTCTTTGTTTTTATTTAATCTAGTAGATATAAAGAAGCGGTGATTGATGGCTGATGCAGACAGTGTGAATAACTTGACACACACATAGAGAAGCATCCCACAGTGGGCACTGACAAGGAGTGGCGTTCATAATGATCTCGAAGCCGTTGCCAGTCTGAGCTTCTTGTGAGCCTTGGGCTGGCCAGGTAGTGCACGCCGGGCGTAAGTACTGAGTGGCAATTGTGTGGGGTGGTGAAGCAAATGCAGTATCTATCATAGGGTGAAATCTGGCTCCTTGAGCCCCATTTTAGTTTACTGAAGAAAGCCAAAGGGATTTCTTTAGTCTTGTTTTAAATTCTTGTTGCATAATTTATAAAGGTATAACATGCAATAATGAAGAATGACCGTAACTTTTGAAGGATTAAACTGTAGGTTGTATGAATAAAATTGATGCTGCTTGACGGAACTTAAAACACCACCAGAGGACTCTGTAGTCTTATTGCCACCAGTTCATCTAAACGCTTGGAAGGCACTTATCGAGAGATTTCAACGCTATCTCAGTGTTAAGACACTTTTTTTGTGGGCAAAATGCCACGCGAGTGCTTTGGATCCTTCCTTTTGCACGAAAGTGGACTTTCTCATATCTCAGTTGATTTTACCGCTTGTATTTTTGTTATAAAGATAAGTGTTAAGTATTAATATGTAATAAAAGTTTGCATATTTTGCCCCGTGGTTGCAGAATATGATTGGCAGGCAAGAACAACATGCTGGGTGAAATTTTTTGTAATTTTCCACAATTGGGAGTGGTTTTTCGGAACAAGAGTAGGGCCCATCAATCCTGCAGTCATGGGGCTGTGCTTTTGATTTGTACTAACCATCAACCACCGTTTCTCACAGATGTGGAAGACATCAAATTTGTCATCAACTTTGACTACCCCAACTGCTCAGAGGACTATGTACATCGTATTGGGCGCACTGGTCGCTCAACAAACACAGGCACAGCCTACACTTTCTTCACTCCTGGAAACGCAAAGCAAGCTTCAGACTTGGTGAATGTGTTGAGGGAGGCGAAACAGGTCATCAGTCCTAAGCTGTTGCAGTTGGAGGAGAACTCAAAGGGCATGAGGGGAGGAGGTACGTTTTCTTAGCTTCACATTTAGTAATGTGTAAGTCATTTTGTTAATATTTTTCACAACCACATTTTTTGACTGTTCAATTAGAAGATTGGTCATTTGATACATCTCTACCTTAAAATTTGTCTACTCAGTAGGCCTACCTAGTTTTGAGAAATTTGACGGGCAAAAAATTTGTTTCACGTCAAGCTTTTTTCTAAATAATCTTACGATTTTGATAGAACTGAGAGAACATTTGGTTTCTGATGGTCTTAGCTAAAAATGTCTGATAGAACTTTATCATTCTGAGGTAGCAATATGTTTGGTTGATGTTTGATGGACTTGTTCATTTTGATGCTTGGAAGTGAAGGGTTGGGGATGCTAGTTGTGTCCTTATTATGCTTAGTTGTGCTTTACCCTTGTTAAATGTGGGTCAAGAGAATAATTTCACATAAAAATAATTACGACGTTAAGAGGCTGCAGAATTTATATGTTAATAGATAATGCGATCAACTTCAGATTCTGGTCATGTGTACTGTATGTAAACTGGGGGTACAGACAGCTGTGCATATTTTGTTGACCGCCCTGTAAAGGGTTGGTAAATGGCGCGTCCAAAGATTTTGTTAGATTTTTTTTTCACCTTGAGGACGAATAACATAGCGGGTGCTCTTGTGTAGTTTGCTCCCTTCTTTCCTATGAAACATCCATCGTCCTTATCTCTCCTCCTTTTTTGTGTTTGTTTCTCACTTTTAACACTTCTAATCTTCGGGATTTATAAGACCTTATTGTGTTGTAAGTGCTGTAAAACTCCTACTAAAAACAAAAATGAACATTTCAACTTTGTTGTTTTTCAGGACGCAGCAGGTGGAGAGATGGAGGCCGTGGAGGCAACCGCTTCTCTGGTGGTGGCGGGAGCCGTTTCTCTGGTGGCGGCAGCTACGGGGGAGGCTACAACAAACCTCAGAGCAATTTCAGCAGTGGTGGATTCAAATCACAGGGTAGTAACTTCAACAGCATGGGCAGCTATGGGAATCAACAAAACGGAATGGGCCAGAGCAAACCGTTCCAGCAGAATGGAAGTGCTGGTGGCTTTAAGCCCCAGTGGAACCAGGGTGGCGTGACAGCTGCATCTCTGGCATCTATACAGCCGCCAGCTGCTGCCAAATATTAAATCATCAGTCATGGCATTGTGATCATAGTTTACATTTTCACAGTACTCATTTTATTTATTTTTCTTTGTTGAACAAAAGGCACCATGGCGTAATCTTGCGTTTTCCTGGGAGAGGTCACATGATAAAAGCTGTCATTGTTATACAAATTTTCTTGTGAAAATGGGGGATAGGGCTCTGGATTTAAAAAAAAAAAAAAAAAAAAAGTTTTGATCACCCTGTAACCAACTGAATAGTAGGGTTAGCAACCTGTCTCAAATTTTGAAGAAATTTAGCCATGAAAGGCTTTATGGTGTTGGATGTAACTAAGTTTAGCGACCTATTTTTATTATTATTCAATGTTTCCTGCAGGGTTGGTATGCAGTATTGCAAGTAACAAGTTAGATTTATGTATTTGTTTCACATTGTGTTTTCCTTTCCTATGTGGAACAAGTCACTATGCTTTTTGACAATATTCGTTGGCAATCTCATGTTAATATTATTAGTCTGTTTTCACAGAAATGAATGACATTTTGCTGCTTGGATGTGATGAGCATGTGGTCATTTCTGTAGAGTTCTGTCCCAGGGATCAAAATTTTTAATGTCTTAAATTTCTTGTAGGAGCACTGTGTTCCATGAATGTTGTAATAAAATGAGCAACTGCACTTCAATAATTTACACTTTGTTCTTTGTGTGTGTGTTGCTTTGTTGTGGATTGGGAATGTGTTGCTGAGGGAGCCTAAGGAGTGTCAGAAATGTCCAGCCTCCTTCAAAAAATATATAGTAGTAATAGAGAATGTCTACCCATTATCGTACTGCAGTTTCCATGATGTAGGATTTTTAAAGGACACACTAGAGGTTCTCCTAACCCTTGATGATGGCTTGGGAACACAAGATTATTGGTATTATGATGCATGTTTTTTCTTGTGACACATTTTACTTGATAATTGACACGCCAAGAGAGATGCTTCATTCTCCAAAATCTATCAAGAGTTTGGGTAGGAAAAGGTGAAAACTCGCATTTGCTTTTCAGATCTGAAAATAAAACCCTCCGTCTTGGTGTCGCTGGCTTTATGGTGTCATGTGCCTTCGCCCATGGAAGTCTGAATATCTGATCTGTATGTCCACTTTTTGGATTGCATCCATTCAACACAGTAGGATTGCACTTCTGCTTGGACGGAAGAGATGGCTGCAACAATGATTTTGAGGGCTTGATAATTTAGTAATCCTGGTTTTCAGCTTCAAGGAAATCACACTGTACAGCGAGTGGGGGGAAAAATTGTGTACTATACCTTTATCATACTTTATGTACATGGTGCTGGATCCAGACCCGGTACATTTGACAAAAGGATGAATCTGACTGATGAATTCGCTCTGGGCCGGACTACTGGAGCACATTTGGGATGGAGGCTTTGTTATATATGGTCAAAGTAAAGGTAGATCCGCTTTACTGATAGTGATACGTGTATAAGTAGCCGTTCTACTTCTATAGGCTTCCACTTTGGCTGAGTTTGGGAGGTGGGTGGTTGGCGGGTGCTCTGGTGTGGTTTGCTGCTTCTTCTTTCCTATCAAACATCTATTGTACTTATCTCTCCTTTTTTGTGTTTGTTACTCTCTTGTAACACCTCTAAACTTCAGCACTTGTATGACTATGACCTTATTCATTATTGTGTTGCAAGTGCCGTAAAATCTCTACTAAAAGTAAAACTAAAAGCTTACCTTTCCTCCTTTTTTATGTTTGTTACTCTCTTGTAACACACCTCTAATCTTCGGCACTTAAATGACCTTAAGGGGGCTCTCGTGGCCAAGAGGTTACGGTGTTGGGCTCTCATTCAAAGGTCCCGAGTTCGAATCCGGGTAGCGATCGAAAAATTTTATTCTCTAAAACTAAAATTGTCTCCTTTCACCCCCTTTCCTGCTGTCTAGCAATGTTCTGTTGTCTGCTTTCATTTCCACTTTCTGCTCCCACCCCCTCACCTCCTTTGCCCCCTCCTCTGGGCTCCTGACTCTTTCTGCAGCCTTTCTACTGCTACTCCATGGCTCCTCCTTACTGCTGTCTTTCTGCCACACCCCTGATCTTCTTGTAGGAAAGATCTACACCTAGCCTTCTCGGATAAGGGCAAAAAATCTCGGAGGGCCCGTGTGCAAGTTGCGCACATTAAAGATCCCTTGGTCTAAAATCGATAAGAGTAGGCTTCGGCCGCCACCCGGGCAAAATTCAAAATTTCCTACCAACTGATAATATTAGGTGTGTCCTGCGCGCTCATACTCATATAACCTTATGCAGTTGCGAGCACCGTAAAACACTTAACAAAAAAAAATTAAAAAATGACCTTAATGTGTTGCAAGTGCCATAAAACACTTAATAAAACTAAACTAGGGTGGGGTGTGCACTCTGGGAATTTCATACTTTTCTTTTTCTTGGAATAAAGGTGATTTGTTTCAGTATGGATGCAGGGTCTGTCTGAAAGTAAAAGCACATGGGTAATCCACACTTCTGAATTCAAAAGGTCCTATAGCTGTCAGTTTTTGAAATAAAACTTCCTGCATCCTTTCAACTTTGGAAGATGAGGTGCATAGGTCTAATTGTATTTTCATTTTTCTTCACTCCACTCAAAAAAAGTAAACCACCAGTCACAGGGATAACGAGGCAAAAATTAGTTTACTTAATGCAGTAGTACAAGTACACACTCAAACCTCCTACCGCCACTCCTGGTCCTAAGAAGAGCATTATCAATTTAGCAGAATAGAGGGTCTGGCAATTTAACGAGGTCCTCTCACTCTTCTAAATACAGTAGTTGTTACGGCCAAACATCATCATCAAGGGAATTTTTGTTGTGTGGTCTGTGTTTGGAAAGTGTCTTTTTGTTGGAGATTTACTTTACAAATACCCTCTCTCTCTGGGTGTGGGTGATTGGTGGATGCTGTAGTGTGGTTTGCTCCTTTCCTATCGTCCTGATCTTTCCTCTTTTTTTTAGTTCGTTACTCTCTAATCTTGTAACCCTTCTAATCATTCCCAAAGGGGGAACATTTCTCCTTTTACTTCTAGTGCACAGTAGAATTGTAAATGGGTTGATCTAACCATGTCATATTACATACACACATTGCGACCAGTGCTTTCTTTGTCATATTATCTCCATTTTTTTACATTGAAAATGTGACTTCTTAAGCTCACTCTTTTGTTATGAACTGTTTTCACTGTAAAAAAAAAAGGAGATACGGTACCACAAGAAAGCACTGAGGTCGCGACATATATTGTTTCCACGTGTGGTAGCGAGACTTGTAACGGGTGGCCGTCATGGACGGTTCATTTGTAGTGTAGTTCTTGTACATCATAGTACATGAGTTTACACCCTTTTCAACACTGAAAGTGCAAGGAATATTACTTGGGATATTACAGGACCTCAGAATTAAACACCTATCTCCAGGACTACCCTGAGTGCACTGTACTGGTAGGCTATACAGTGTATGGTGAATCGTTAAAAACAATCCCAAGTTCAAGATTACCCCAATGGGAATCTGAACCAGAATCATCTGCACCATACCCTAGCACTTGCAGGATCACTTATGACGATGTTCGTCCTCTGCAGGCAAAGATACCCAACAAAATATAATTACTGTATAATTACACCAACTGAACTAATAATAGTAGCCTATTAGATAGTAATATATTGTAAAGCGCATAGATAGAGCCTGCTGTTGAGCTGGGATATGCGCTATACAAATGCTATTTATTATTATTATTATTAGATCTACTGATGAAACATGAATGACAAAACAACAAAAAAGGGAGAAAAAAATTTTTCCTTTTCAATAATTGCCATCATTGTTTAATGTACCAGGTGCAGGATCTTTCAGCGAAATCAGCGCACACGTTCCTGTAGTCACCAAGGTCCCGCTGTAGGTGTTGATGATGTTCCACACACCCGACGTGCTTCTTAGATGTGTAAATATCGCATTCAATAAGTTTCTGTTGCATTTCGTCAGCGTTATTCCACACCCGTCTAAATCAATTTCTGGAGGTTTCTAGATCCCAGCAAATCTGTTCTTCCAAAAAGACATCGAGAGGTATCTTACAACATACCATAGTTTTGTTTTGTAACTTTATTTCTTCCTAGCCTATAATTGAAAAATAACAAGCTCGTTGAGTTATGGTTCTGGTTTGGGAGAACTTTTTTTTCTGTAATTTTCTCAAACTCAAAGCTTCAAAAAATGACAAAGAGCTTGTGACATGACTGTGACGAAACAGACAATTTGCCTTTCTCACTTGAGCTTCTTATTCAGTGTCATAGATTGAGATAGTTCACAACAAGATGAGTCACTCCTACGTGTATTTGAGATAAGACAAAAAGCCTCACCCTCAATAACACGGGTGGCTACATCTGTACCATTTATGTACATGTACTAGTACTACTGTATGTTGGTGGACACTTCTGGGAGTGACCTATCTTGATTGACTAGCAAGGGTTGTTCTTCAAGGTGTCGTAAAAGAATCTCTTAATGAGAAAAGAAACAAAACGTCTTCATCAGTGTGGGAGGCCACAAAATTATAAGTGCACAGAGTGCAAAGCAAAGGATACTTGTATCACTTATATCAGGGAGTGACCCATCTTGTATGCAATCTTTAAAAACATCCCTCGGAAGTCGACAGTACAATTGCTTGCATCTTTGAGTGAAGATAAACTATGAAATATCACAAAAGTTTATTATTTTTGCCCCATTTTTTGGACAGGATGGACAGACACGAATCCCCTCGAGAGTGATGTACACATTTGTACACATGTACAAGTCTGGACTTGTCAATACGGTGAATGTGCACACTGACACAAATACAGAAAAGTAACCACACTCAGCTCACAATGTCAACTGCAATTGCAATACATGTAATACAAAAAGGTACTACGTAACAGCAGTACATGTTTTCAACCTAGCTTTTGAATCAGTAAAGCACAAAAGAAAGGATGATGCTCATCTTCAAGTTCTAATCTAGTCGAAACCAAGATTCTTTAAATTAAGTTGTTCAAAACAAAACTATTTCATCTTTTCACCAACACACTCCTAACATAACTGCAGTCTTTGTTTATCAGAAATTTCATGGGGAAAAAAACTACACATTATATTGTGTCCACAAAATTGTACAAAATAAACTAACTGAGAGGGAAAAACCCTGGAATTTGGATTGGGGATGTTGGCTGCCTTGAACAAGTCTTTAAAAAAATAGCAGGTGAATTTATTTAACTACTAAGTCTCCACTGTAGGCCTACCTGCATTTTAACTTTGTGAGGAGTCAGTAAAGATTTTCGAGAAATAGAGGAATGATGACAACATTGTGATTTCATGATGAGATCTCAAGGTACGTCTTAGCAAATAGCAGCTCAACTATCATAACTCAGGGTTTTGACAAAAATAAAAAAACCCAAATTTCCACAGCACTGGGAAAGGTGCTAGCTTTGTAAAAACGTTAAAAGTTGTGCGATTATTTTGTGAACATAACACTTTCAATTGTCATTTCAGATTCCAGGTATTGTTGATGGACATAATGGTGAAAAACTAGTCGTTCTTTTTTTTTTTCTCCAGTAAAATTTGAAATAAACCCAGAGTTGTTATAGTTTGAGCTGCTACCCCATAACAGATAACATGAATATAATATTGTGCATCACCAAAAGACTGAATCAGAGCACGGATTCCTTTAGCTGTATTGAAGAAAAGTGCCTTTGTTGGGTTGTGTATAGCAAGCTGGCATAATAAATATGTTCACAATTTAGTTCACAAATATGTTCATTTTGTTCACAATTTTGTTCTGGAAACAAAGTCAAAAGCAACACTGAGAGAAGAAAAGCAGCACGCCACACCACACCAGAGCACCCACCAACCATCTGTGCACCTACTGAAGACACCAATCATCAGTCTCATCAAATCAGCCACTACCTAGCCACTACGTCACTCTAAGCAAAGTCAATGCTGAAAGTCCTGACCATAACTAGCAGGGGATCAACAGTCCCGTGGTTCAATCAAATAAAAAACATCAACAATATAACTAGATCTATTTCAACTCTGATCTCATAAGTCGCCTGCAGGACCAAAAACCTGGGGTGCTAAGCTAAAATTAGCGAGCAGTGCATGGACATAAATATAAGTCAAATAATCTAGACAAAATAAGGAAAAAACTGCTGAAATTGGTAGGCTAGGGCTAGGGGAGACTGCCTTAACGCGTCAATTCTGGGAGCTGATAAATGCATTCAATTCTATACAATGAGTGACAATGTGACCATTTTCAGAAGTAGAACAGAGACTTTAAATCAGAAACGAGCTGAAACAAAATGTTCAATATAAGGGAGCAGTTTTCACAAATTTATATATATCTAATTTAGCGACTTTCGCCTCATTTAATTTATACGATGGTACCAGTAGTGAGATCACTGTACATGTATGTGTCTGCAAATTATACAGGAGGATGAATCTTAACATGGCTAGCAGGGCCAGAAAAAAATCCACCTGTAACTTGATGAAACATTTTTGCGGGTTTGCTGATGCTGCCTCACCCTTGTTTCACGTATACGTATATATATAATATATGATAATAGTATTAATAAGGAATGCTGACCTTGCAGCACCTGCAATACTATCCATACAGGTTCTGTTGAGAGAGGTGACTCATAATACTCATATAATATATATTATATATAGAAATAAACTGTAACAGTCAGGCAACAGAGCCACAGAGTAGCCGTATCATGGTCTACATCAGAATGAACAACAGAGCTAAAAGACAGCTTAAAGCTGTAAGCATGCACAAAGTGTTCTAGTTTAGTATTAGTAAGTGTTTTACAGCACTTGCAACACAATAAGGTCATATAACTGCCAAAGATTAGAGGAGTGACAAGAGAGTAACAAACACAAAAAAAACAAGGAGGAGAGATAAGGACGGTAGATGTTTGATAGGAAAGAAGAAGCAAACCACACCAGAGCACCTGCCAACCACAAAGTGTGGCTATTATCATACCATGGTAGAGAAAACAGACTGCTATTCAGAGACAATTCTAACAGCTAAAAAATAGGTCCACTATTGGCAGCTAGTGTGGCTGAAATCTTTCAAACTTCAAGAAACCTTCAACTCATAGAAACTCCTGCAGAGTCAGGACCATTCATACAGCTTTCTCATTGTCATTTTGAGCGTTACATTCTGTGTACTAGTGTACAGCATTGAGAGGCCAAGGGCAACAAAGCCAGAGACCTAGCTATCAGTATCAGTCTGTCCCCGTGGTTTTATGCACCCCGCATAATTTAGCAAAATTTGATAATTTTTTTGCATAATTTCTGATTATTTTCCTGCCTTTATCATTCTTTGTTAAAATTAACAGAATCGCATATTTTCACATTTTTAGGCTAAGTTTGCATAATTTCGACATTTTTCATGCATAAAACGACGGTGACAGATCAGTGCACATTTCCGGTATATAAACAGTGAGCAACATTCAAACACTTTCTCTATGGGAGCAGTACAGCACAATCCATTTATGATTACCAGGGGGTTGAGCGCGGTGAGAGGAGTAAAGGCGTATATAAATACAGTCAAAGTCAAAGTGACAAAGGTACAGGTTTAATAACCCCCCCGCTGGGTGGACCATGGTCTCCCTCCCCAATCTGCACACATCTTCTCTTAACGAGAGTCATAATGTAGGTTGTTAAGTGCATAGAGCTTGCTGTTGAGCAGGAACATGCACTATACAAATGCAATTCATTTATTATGTAAAAGAGAGTGGTGCTGCAGACATCAGCTCAAAGGGACGCCAACAAACGGTTCACTGAGCAAAGTGAGAAACATAACCTGCTGGTGTCCAACAAAAGAAGATAAAAGCACAGTCAAGCGGCGGCTACATACCTTCACAATTACATCGAGAAACAGTGACCTAAACCAAAAATTGTGATCTTCAAGATGAGCAACTGGTGCGTGATTTCACATTCAAAATAATCCACAAACAGATGTACAATCCTGGATTACAAGTCTGTCTTGTGCTTGAGGTATCACAAAAAGGAAAAAATGCATTGGGTTGTAAATTTGCACAAAACAGCCTGGTAATCCATCCCACGATTCATGATCTAGGCTTTTAATTGGCTGAGTGAAGACAAAAGATTGAAGGTTTGAGTACAACAAGGTGTTTTTACGAAACCTTCTTAAGACCCATAACGTTGTCTCAAGTCCAGTTATATACCATGATACGAAATTGATCTGAAAAATGGAGCAATAATCACAAAAAAGCTCTCAAGTTTTGTCAATAAACATACTGCAACTGACTTTAACTTACAAAAAAAAAATACTATCAAGCAAATGGAAAATTGAGCAGGCTAGATCTATACATGAGCGGTGTTGCAATAAACAAGAGCTGAAAAATGTTGAAGATTTGAGAAATGAGCATGAGATGAGAATAGGCAAAAATTCTGAAGAGTTGCTATATCTGAAGCATCTCCATGAATAGCCAGACAGAAACAATTACTGGCCTTCTTTCAACAGAGTTCCCAGTGCATGCCAGATACAAGTCTAGTTTCAAGCTAGTCCTGACACTACAGCTGGAAGGGAGATAACTTTATCTAACAACACCCAAAACCTCAGACTCACCCACAAGCTCACTACAGTGAACCTCGCATTTAATGAAACTCCAGCATTTGGCCACACGCTCACTTCGTGCTTAGTCACATGGCTTTGCCTGCTAATTAGCCAAAGGTATCAGTTGTCTTGGTGCCCCCACCATTGATGTCCCAAAGTTTTCAGAGATTTTGGTACTTGGCAGGGTTGTGTTGGGAACTAGAGTAGACATGTGTGCCTGTTGTCTTTACTTTATTTTGCTTTTCCCATCCAGCGGCCATTTGAGTTTTAGCCCTTTGGCCTGCCGATATGGCAAAGAATCTACAGGTTTTAATCAGCTGTGCTTTGTCGCTGTATAGAGTATTTCCGATGTCTGGGGAGGCAGGTAGGTAGGTACTACGCAGGTTGCTAAGTGCAGGGCAGGTAAAGAGGTAGTGTGATACTATTTCATCTGAGCCTGTTGTCAAATGCTTGGCCCTCACAGAGTCCATTCACTAACAGCATCGGTGAGGTAAAAAGTATCTCTTGAAAGTAATTGGCATTTAATTGAAATAGTTTTTTTTAAAAAGCAGCCAATATTTGTCAAAAACACAGCACCGCAACACAAGACATTTACAGTCTAATGACTGTCCCCAGAGAATCATCAATAAAAAATACTATAGGGGGTTTACTTCCATAAAAAATGAAACTTTACTACCACCAAAACGTTGCATTGAAAAAATAGACACCTATGGTCAAACCCCATGAATTCATTAGATGCGAGGTTCAGTACAATATCTAATTTTAGACGTGAATTTTAACTTCTGACAATGTACCAGTACAAATGAACAAAGAGTTACAGCAGAAAATCCAAGGACAAAGACGACTGAATCAAGCTCAAAATGATTCAACGCCCGGGGTGATGCGGCAATCACAGTGACAAGCTGGAACCTACAGGTGCACACTTCAGCAGCTGGGATGTAAAACATCTACTTCAAACTTTTCTAACTAGCACCACCTCACTGCACGGGAACCAACCAAAACAGCACTGAATGACATTAAACCATAAACACTCATACATTCAAGCCCAAGCCACAAAACAATGTTTATACTATAGACGTATGTCAATCACATGCATGTTGTTTTGTTTAAAGGATGTTAATCAAAGGATGTCAAAAAGGCATACAAGTTAGGGGGGAAGAAATTTGTCTATATATCTAAGTGATAGTAGCCCTCTGGTCTATTCATTAACTGGAGTTGGACACGAGGCTGGAAGAGAGCTGTTCTAGAGACTTCTTGTACAGCCTCAAGTGCTTCCGGAGAGTGATGCAAAACCCTCGGGACATGGGGAACAGAGGGAACTCGGGATCTTTCTTGCCGTCGGCCGAGACTGGTTCGCAGTTCGAGTCTACACGGGGCTGTTTCCCGTTTGCCTCACCAGGATCGTTCTGGCTCAGAGACAAATTCTGTAACTGGTCGGAGACTGACACCATTTTGTTATGCACAGAGTCAACTGTCTTTTTCTCCTCTGTCCGGTCTACACCTTCAGACAATTTCTTCTTTTGGCTCGAGACGTTTTCAGCTGTATTATTTCCCGCGGCGGAAGAGGCAACAGTGTCACTGCTTGCGGCAACAGACTCGCTGCCGGCAGACTGGCCTCTCTCTGTAACTTCGGCAGCAGCTTCGTTAGACGATGTGAAAGACTGTAGACCGTCGGCTACCGGGACCTTCCCAGAATTCGGTGCTCCAACACCACCCGGGGGAGCCACTCTCTCACCTCCTGTACTGTCACTCACTCTCTCACCTCCTGTACTGTCACTCGCTCTCACACACTGTGATGAGCCACTGGCTGCCGCTGTAGTCGGCGAGCAAACTTCCGAGCGAGCACCTCCAGCGACGCCAGTCATCTCCCCTTCTACCGGCACGGTGCTACCTGCCTGCGTCGCCGTCGCTGGGGTTGGGGACGATAATACTGAAAGGGGATCCTGAGGAGGCGGAGCTTCGCCAGCACTGACAGAAGTGGTGGGCAGAGCTTCACCCGCACTGACAGAAGTGGTGGGCGGGGCTTGGGCAGAACTGGACGGGCCGCTGATGCTGTCATCCCCACTCTGGTGTCGTCCCGGCTGGACTTTCTTGGATTCGCTCATCTCCACCCACTGCTGCAGTCTGGCTATCATCCTGTGGGAGGACATGGTCACACAAGTTTAATATCACGACTTCTAGGTCACAATTAACATTTTTTTTCTTTTCTTACTTTTTAACCCTGCCCACTCGGAGAGGATAGATAGAAGTGTCATAAATGGTAAAGTTCTGAAACCAGTGAAATATCAGCAATAGATTATGCTGTAAGACATGATAAATTTAGATTACATTAGGGGTTGAGGTCAATGGCATGTTTAGCTGACTAGCTATAACAATTCTTTGACCCTCTGGGTCGTCTTCAAACCACGACCGCCGGCGACGGTTAAGTGGATGAAAAATGCCATACATTTATTGAAAGTAGTCTGATTAGACAACAGACTTTGAAAGATTCAAGGACATCAGGTAAACCACACACAAAGATGCACAAACACACACAAACGTGAGTGCACATATATCCCACAAACAGCCGGGGACAAGTAAGTGTCAGTAGTCCAGTGGTTAGGCTACCAGACTTGTTTTCATGAGGTTGCAGGTCCGAGGCTAAGCTCAGCCTGAGATTGTGCCCTTGGGAAAGGCATTTTACATGAATTTTCCTCACTTTACCCAAGTGGGATTGGGTACCTGGCTATAGACGGCGAAAGACTTTGTCAGTTTATTAGTGTTAGAGTGCTAAATCGGCTGCTTGCACAGTACGCTTTTCGAGAGCCCTGGAATCTCCTGGCGTAATAATGGTTGTACAGCGCATAGAGTATGCTGCAGAGCATGGATATGCGCTATATAAATGCAATCACTATTGTTACCAATTAATCCGTGACAGCAAACACTTCCACTGATTACCTGGGTCCATGACTGAGCAGGTAGCGAAGAACTTCTTCCTTGAACGTCTCTGGGGGCCTCTTGCACATTTCCGTGAGCGACTGGCACGTCTTTAGGATGGCCATCTCATTGTACATGCGGCTGTTCTCTTCTCCCACCTGAGTGCCTCTCTGCCTCTCAAAGCCTGCTTCGTTGTAGTAGGGCTCTCGCACCAGGATCAGACCTGCAAATGTTCACAAAGTCACAACTGATTTTTTTGTCCAACTAGAAGGTGTTTTTACACCCTCATTGACATCATTTAGACTATTTAGGAGGCAGGCTTCCACCTTGCCTGACAGGCCCAACCCCAGCTAAGAGGGATACAACATTCCAGTAGAAAGACCCAGATACTTGATACATATTCTTCTCACTCTCTAAATCCTCTGTTGACGTTAGCTATAATACTTTTTCATCCTCTGTTCTCGAAAAAACATCGAGGGCTTAGATATAACATTAGAAAAGTTAAAGCAAGAGATGAAAATTGCAGACTTGCACCAACAAAAGCTCATGGCAAATTCTGCACCCATACCTTGTATAGAAAGCAACACTTGGAGCAGGTTAGACTTGTGGGTCCAGACCTCCGTGCCTTTGCCCGACCACGTCCCCAGCAGGGAGACACACACCTGAGGAAAGGTCAGTTCCAACACAGCTCAAACATTGCTTCTTTTATAGGCCAATTGGAGACAGATAGTTTTAGTTTTAGTTGAGGTTTTACGGCGCTCGCAACTGCATAAGGTCATACGAGCGCCAGAAGATTAGAGGTGTTACAAGAGAGTAACAAACATAAAAAAGAAGGAGGGGAGATAAGGACGATAGATGTCTCATAGGAAAGAAGAAGCAAACCACACCAGAGCACCCGCCAACCACCCACCAATTATAGTTTAGTAAGAGTTTTACTGCGCTCACAACGGCATAAGGTCATAAGAGTGCGGGAAACACAAGTTGGTTGCATTCACAACAGTCCACAGCACGCCTTAATTTTGGTCATTACTCGGATTAAAATGTTAAAAATTCATGGTAAAAATCTCACTTTTAAAATAAGACTTTAAATAACATTAAAATAACAGTATTTACAGTAGAATGGAAGAAAAGCAAGGAATCAAATCCCCCTAAAAGTATTGAATAAGAAACAAAAGTATTCTCCCGTGAACAGAATTTCATAAATGAATCGAAGACTGCTAAATTAATAAATAGCAAACCCCCTCCTCCCCCCCCCGTGAAATAAATACTAAATAAGAGTTCTAACCAAAAGTTCAGAAATATGGACTGAAACCTAAAAATTGCAAGTATTGATGTGACACATAACCCATCATTTTCATAAATAATTCTGTTGAAATTGTCCAAGGCTGCCCATTGTTGAGACCAAAAGTACATGTCCTATACAGGCGGACATTTTGGGCAGTGTGATTCTTACAGAGAAAACCCACAGGGTGAGGAATAGTGAGATGTGGTCATTTGTACAGGTGGTTGTCTTTTTAGTTTTAGTGAGAGTTTTACGGCACTTGCAACACATAAGGTCATATAAGTGCCGAAGATTAGAGTTGTTACAAGAGAGTGACAAACAAAAAAGGAGGAGGAGAGATCAGGATGATAGATGTTTCATAGGAAAGGAGCAAACCACACCAGAGCCCCCGCCAACCACCCCCACGTGGATGTCTTGAGCAGTGTCATTATAACATAGGAAAACCAGAAGGCGAGGAGGGTGAGACCTTGTCATTGGTCATTTGTACAGGTGATTGTCTTGGGCAGAGTTTGCACATCATAGAAAAACCACAGGCGAGGAAAACTTTTAGTTTTAGTAAGTGGTTTACAGCACTTGCAACACAATAAGGTCATATATGTGCTGAAGATTAGAGGTGTTACAAGGGAGTAACAAACACAAAAAAAGAAGGAGAGATCAGGACGATAGACGTTTGATAGGAAAGAAAGAGCAAACCATAACAGAGCACCCACCAACCACCCACAGTCGAACACTGGACAAAAGCTAGAACACTGATGACACCCTCTCAGTTATCAGTTTCCTCTGTCCTAAAATAAGCAAGAATGAAAGTTTGACTAGAAGAGAAACTATCCAAAATCTAAATAAAAATAAGCTGTATATAGATCTTTTGAACAATCATATATGCTTACCTTGCCATCTTCGTATAAATTAGGATTAAGGCGGTCACTGCAGTAGGAATGGTAGTGACATATCGGTGGAGAGGTGGGGTAATCGTTTGGCAGCATGATATCAAAGAGAAAGACAGCATCTTCGTATGGAGTTCCATCAGGCCCCAAGATCATCACAGAGTAAAGGTCCTGAAATGGATATTGTATAAATCCAGACGTTTAGAGAAAAACATTTTTGAAAACTCTTTTAAGGCAAAACACTGATGAACACTTTTGCCAGAAATGCTGAGCCTAACCTAGGATGGAAACATTCAGGACAGGTCAATGGCCCATATAAACATTTCTTTTTTCAAAAAAGAAATAGACAGAGTGACTATGTAATCATACAATCCGTTACTGATTACAGATTACCGACTCATTCATGAATGGAGGTTTTCTCAATGGCAAACCAAGACTATTTTTAAAGCGTAATGTCTCCGAAAAAAACTACCAAAAACATACAGAAGAAAGTTCCAAGGCTTCAAAGTCTATAGATTTAAGAACAAGAAACAAAATATTTCAAAGCAGTGGTACTTGGAAACTGACAAAAAAGAGGTAAGTTTTTCACATAATCAATAATATATCCTGAATCTGACCATCTCATTCACAGCTAACACACTGCAACCTTGACAAGGAAAGAGGAAACTTACAAGCCGGTCCTCAAATCCGTGAACAAATATTCCGTCTGGAAGACTTGTCTGAAACAGCTTCAGCTGAAATAAGAGAAAGGTGGTTATCTTAAGTTTAGCACAGTTTGAGTAAAAGTGAGCACATCGACACTCTTGATACTCATTTAGTACAGAGAAGAAATACGGCCGCCAAAAAACAGAGGGGAAGCAAGAGAAGAAGGACATACAAATTATGATGCCCTTCAAACACTCGTCTTATCGTAAGAGCATGAGTACACTTGAATTTTACCCCAAAGGAAAATAATGCAGTGGTCAGTCCACCCAATCACAGCCACAGTACAAAAGTTCAAGTCTCATGACTAAGACAAGGCCAGAAAGATATTTCAAAGAGTAAATGGGCACCTTTGCCCTCCCAAAGACAGATTACATTCAAACAATGTTCATTCCATATCACCCCCACCCCCAAATTGCATTGGTTCTTTTTTGTCTATTTTCCTACTATCAGCATGATTCCCAGCAGCCTTCTCCTCACCTCTTTCTTCACAGCTGTTCTGAAAGACCTCAGATTAGGGGGCTGACTTTCTTTTTTCACAAAGGCGTGAGACTGTGGCACCTCTGAATCCATTTGAAAACCTACAAAAGAAAGAAATGTTAATGTATCTTAGAGAGAAACAAAAATTAGTTGATTTCACCAATGGGCTACTGGTGAAAATAAATCAGATGCTAAAGAAACTGTTGTAACAGTCTGAGGTTCTTTGATTTCATCAAACGTCTTGTCAAAAGGCACAAAAAAAAAAAAAAAAAAAAAAAAAAAAAAAAGATGAAAAGAATAAAAATGGCAAAATGGATTTTATTTGCCCCCCCCCGTCTTTATAATGACATTTTATTAATTATTTCCCAAAGGGCTCAATGTTGATATATGCTGGAAGCAAAGTCCTGAATATGACTGCTGCACTTATTGAGACGTACAATTTTACAGAGGAAAACTCGTACAGCCCAAAAACCCTGACAAAATTGGTGCACCTCAAAAATAGAAATTGTGTAACTAATATCTTTAGCAACATCTTAAGCAGTTGGAATAAATCAGGATACCTGTAGCAATAGAGCAATTTGCAAGGACCTCATACTAGAATCAAAAGTAAAAAGTTACACTCTGAAAACAAGAGGAACCAAAAAAACCAAAACCTTCCCTACCTTTGCACGGCACATCCTCGCTCTTGACATCGCTGAATGTGCTGGTGATGTCATCGTCCTCTTGATCTGCCGGAGACTCGCAGCTGGCCTCATGCCCTGTGTCTACGTCTGTGGAGGGGGCGGGGGCGGCTGCCATGTCACCCTTCTCGTCGCCACCGTGCTTCCTGCCAGATGCGACGGCGGCCTCCGTCTCGTTCACCCTCTCTCCGCACTCGTCTATAGATACAGGAACAGAATCGGTTTCTACCTCCAAAGTGGAAGTTACGTCTTGAGCTAGAGAGTCTCCTCCCTTGTGTTCTGCCTCGGACATCACAACAGAAGGAGAAATCACAGGATTGCTTGGTTGTTTATCACAGCTAGCAGCGGATTCTGTCAACTCTTGTTTGCATAGTTCTGTGCTGGAACTTTTGGCAGCGTTGCCCCCTGCCTGAGATTCTGTCTTGCCCTCGCAGGCAGCTTGACTTTCACACGAGGAAAACAATCGTTGTGTTCGTTTGTTCATGTCCTCGTGGATGAGCAGGATTTGCTTTTGAAGGCATTTGCAAATTTTGAAGCACAGCTCCTGGGCGACTTGGTTCGAGTATTTAGTGTCATCCCTGCTCTTTTTGGCCTCTCTCCCAGACTCATCAAAGCTGTCAGACTTGACTCGCTTGGAGGCCTTTGCCACACAGTTTTCTCCCACCAAATTGGCCTCGCCCCTCTTAGCTTCATGCTGTACTGAACTCATTCCTTCCACAGTGGGATCCGAGGGTCTACGGCCGTTCGCTTCAGTGTGCAAATCAAGACTTCCTATAGCCGGCTCACTAAATTCTTTTTTCAGAACCCTGCTCTCAAGGTTTTTAGCAGCCATCAGGTTCTCTGCTGAAGTCGATGGATCACCACAGACATTTTTCTCTCTGTCGACTGCAATGTCTTTGCCACCAGTGGCACCGACTGCCTCTTCAGAAGAATCGTCCAGTTTCCTCGCGCCATCACTCAGCTCTGTAGCCGGCATCTCTACCAAAACATCTAGGGACGAAGCACTGTTCTTCATGGGGCCAAATGTTATGGTCTTCCCATCCACTCCCACCAAGCCAAAAGTGCGACTGGTGTTCCCTGTGGCAGGCATACTCTGGCTCCACGCCTCAAACAGCTGTGTGAGGTGCTTCGAGATCTTGTTGGTTTTGTCCCTCTTCAGCTCTTGCTTCGCCTGGCTGATCAAGAGCTGGAGTTCTGGGTCGCTGAAAAAGGACGATTTTAGAATCTTATCCAGATCGTGGCAGTTGCGATAAATCCGAATGATATCATGAAAGCAATCCGGGGCGGAGACGGACACGTCGAAAGTGTTGAGCAGCTTCTGCAGGCGGACCAGAGCCGACTCGGCGCGGCCCAGCAGGGAGTCCAGTTCCTGTTTGTGCTCAGCCAGGGCTCCCTGGTCACAGCCGCTGTCGTCCTTGTCCGCCCTGGAGGGACACGGGGGAGTGGAAAATTCTAGTAAGAGTTTTACGGCACTTGCAACACAATAAGGTCATATGAGTGCCAGAAGATTAGAGGTGTTACAAGAGAGTAACAAACATAAAAAAGAAGAAGGGGAGATAAGGACGACCACACCAAAGCACCCGCCAACCACCCACGACGTAGAGTTTGAGCAAAGACAAGTACAGCTGAAACAGTCTGTTTAGCTTTAGTAAGAGTTCTACAGCACTAACAACACAATAAGGTCATATAATTTTCATATATTAGAGGTGTTAATAGATAGCATTTGTATAGCGCAAATCCACGCTCAACAGCAAGCTCTATGCGCTTTACAAGAGAGTAGCAAACACAAAAAAAAGAAGGAGGTATCCAAAGGTATCAGAACGACAGATGTTTAATAGGAAAGAAAGAGCTAACCACCCACTGAAATAGTTTTAAAAAGCCACCCATTGTTGAGGAGAAAAGAGGTTGTCTTACAAAGCTGGACATCTTGAGCAATGTCATGATATTTTTTTTTTTTAAAGGGGGGAAGTGGGAAGCGGTCATTTGTACAGGTGATCGTCTTGGACAAGTGACAAATAGAGCAGGTTCAACTGTACATCCACACAATAACAGTCATCTGTTTTGTTTGTTTGTTTTAGTAGAGGTTTTACGGCGCTCGCAACTGCATAAGGTCATATGAGCGTCAGAAGATTAGAGGTGTTACAAGAGAGTAACAAACATAAAAAAGAAGGAAGGGAGATAAGGACGATAGATGTCTCATAGGAAAGAAGAAGCAAACCACACCAGAGCACCCGCCAACCACCCACTGACAGTCATCTAGTGGTGGCAGTAAGCAAGATAGATACACAGGAAAGACAGAGGGAAAGAAAAGTATGACCTACCACCAGTGGTGTTCTCCAACCGCTTGTATAAACTTTAATTTTAGTAAGAGTTTTACAGCACTTGCAACAAAATAAGGTCATATAAATGCCGATGCTTAGAAGTGTTACAAGAGAGTTACAAACACAAAAGAGAAGGAGAGAAAGGACGAATGACGTTCGATAGGAAAGAGGGAGCAAACCACACCAGACCGCGCGCCAACTGCCCGCTTGTATAAACTTTAGTCACACATATTACACCACAGAATCAACAATGGAAGGGATTTAGTTGTTAGTTTTAGTAGAGATTTTACGGCGCTCGCAACTGCATAATGTCATATGAGTGCCAGAAGATTAGAGGTGTTACAAGAGAGTAACAAACATAAAAAAGAAGAAGGGGAGATAAGGACGATAGATGTTTGATAGCAAAGAAGGAACAAACCACACTAGAGCACCCGCCAACCACCCACGAAAGGGATTTGATGACTTCAACATCACAATAGAGTCATTTTAAAGGAAGAGTAAAAATGAGCATTGAAAAATGTTCTGTCAATTTCATGTAATTATTATGAATTTATAAAATCCATGCCAATGTCAGAAAACTATGTAAAGCAGTAATATCATCATCCTAACTAATTCCTTAAAATACATGATCCAATAAAAATACATTATTCAAGAGCTGTAGTTGAAAATTCACTTTACTTTTGTTATTTAGTAGAGGTTTTACGGCGCTTGCAACTGCATCAGGTCACATGAGCGCCAAGGGGTGGATGTCAACAGAGAAGTCTTTACAGGGATTCCAGCTTACTTTGCTCACCTCTCTAGCTTTAACAGCACTAAGTCTGTTTTGACTTTCAAGGCACCGCGGAAATAGCGGGTCACAAGAGTATGACAAACATACAAAAGAAGTAGAGGAAAATGATGATAGTAAGGATTAAGAAAAAAAAAGCAGCAGTTCCCTGTTGTAATTTAGGCACAGTTATGAGCATGACATTGTTGAATCAGCCATTTACAACTCTATTGTGCATAAGAACGAGAAATGTCCCTTTGTAGTACTGGGTACTTCTCAAATTCTAAAAGATATAAACAAGAAAATGTAAGAGATAGAGCTACAATGGATTAACTAAACGGAATAAGCCCTTCGAAGAACTTACTTCGCTCCTTCCTCTTCCCCGACAACTTCCTGCTCCGACTCGGTCTCCCAAGACTCCCTGGAAGACGCGTTGGATTCATAATCAGACTCGGACTCCCACTCGTCGTTATCAGAGTCGTCGTCCGCCTGGGAAGAGAAGGGAGGGGGAGGGAGGGGGGAGACTAAAGGGTAATCACCTAGCCTTAGTTTTTTGGGTTTTTTTTTTATAGTAGAGGGTTTTATGGTGCTCGCAACTGCATAAGGTCATATGAGCGCCAAGGGGTGGGTGTCAACAGAGAAGTCTTTACAGGGAATCAGACTTAGGCTGCTCACCTCTCTAGCTTCAACAGCACAAGTAGACCTGCATGTGAGCCTCAACCAGATTGTCTGAAAATTTTGCCCCCCCCCCCCCCAAAAAAATAGCCTTTGTGGGTGTCATAAGGAAGAACATCCGAGTAACGAGCGACCACCCCAACAAACACAATAAAGAAGAGACCTAACCCTAACCCTACCCCCAAAAAGAACCTGCAACGGGCCTCTGTAAAAAGGCCAAAACAAGTCCTAAATGGAAAAAAAAAAAAAATTTAAAAAACCACACTCCAAAACGAACAAGGAGCATATAGATCTAGATCTAGATCTAGATTCTAGATCTAGATCTAGATTCTAGATCTATATATGGCTTACATCTACATTGCTATAGGGTTTGATACAATAACACAATAGAATTGGAATATAGATCTATATAATATGAATCCTACATATATAGATTCTATATATATCTAGATTTCTAGATCTAGAAATCTAGTAGTAATCTAAATAAATCTAGATCTAGATCTAGATCTTGTAGAACAAGTGAATAGGAATAGGCCTTGAACAAGAAATCCACATCCGATTCCGAACAGAGGGACTCAGCTGAGTCTAGATTCTAGATCTAATATCTAGATCTAAATCTAGATTCTAGATCTTTACTAAATACTAAATAAATAAACAATTCACGCACCTGATGAAATGCTTATTTTTACCAATATAAAGATTACAGCGCAACCTATGATAGGGTTTGACACAATAGAATTGGAATATGAATCCTCCATTGAGGTCTATAATGATCTATATAAATCTAGATCTAGATTCTATTAGAACAAGAGAGTCGGACTTGAATGAATCCACACGATCTGAACTATTGAATTAGTCAACAAACGAAATTCAAAATGGCCGCTCGAGCACGAAACTGAAAGTAGATAATTTAAGTTGTCGTCCTTTTTCGTATTCGCATTTCTACTTAGGTTCCGACAATTATGTCGGAAACGCCGACGTCGGCAGTCGGCGGTGCGCGCGTCGGCGGTCGGCACGAAAACGAAAGTGCCGACGAAGCCGACGGGAGAAAAATGGGTCACTGGCAGTCGGCCAAGCCTCGCACTGCGCACATTGCTTGATACAGGCGGGCCTAGCTATAGCATCGGCTGGTTCGCGGGTCGGGTCGCGATTGTCGGATTTCAGACGATTGTCGGCAAACATGCAGGTCTACACAAGGTCTGTTTCGACTATCAAGGCACCCCGGAAATAGCAAGTCATAAGAGAGTGACAAACATACAAAAGAAGTTGAGGGAAAATGACAATAGTCAGGATTAGAAAAGAAAAAGCAGCAGTTCCCTGTTGTAGATCAGGCACAGTTATGAGCGTGACATGAGTCAGCCCATTTACAATTCTACTATGCTTGAACGAGAAATGTCCCCCCTTTGGGAATGGCCTAAAGACACTACAGTCAGTGGCACTGCCCTGGGGGTATAGCCTTAGTTTATAGTTTTAGTAAGTGTTTTACGGCACTTGCAACACAATAAGGTCATATAAGTGCCGAAAATTAGAGGCGTTAAAAGGAAGTAACAAACACAAAAAAGAAGGAGGGGAGATAAAGACGATAGATGTTTGATAAGAAACAAAAAGCAAACCACATCAGAGCCCCCGCCAACCACTCACGCACCTCGTCAAAAAACACGGCTGATCAAAAGGAATGTCGCCTCTTTAAAGGTTACCAAGTTATAGTTTATGGCAAATCAGGTAAAGAATGGCAATACAGTCAAAACTGTTCAAACTACAAAAATACAACAAACAACCCCCCCCCCCCCCTACCAAGGTACACAAATACATTTTCCAACCAAATACTGACAAAAATTTAAAGAAAAGAGATATTTGATATTGACAAGAGAACAAACACACACACACAAAAATAAAATTAAGCAAGGCAATCATAACAAAAGAAGGAACCCCTTTGCTGCCCAAGAACTTGATCCTGGAAGATTTCTTTCTAGATTTATCTTGTCCTTCGTCCTGGATCGATAATAACATCATTACATACCTCGTCAGAAACTATGAACACCTCTTGAGGATAACGCTGACTTATGCTCCCATCAGCCCACTTGACCACCAGATGACCGTTGGGGTCCAGCTCGTAAATTTGACCAACAGTTTGACAGGCGCTGCTGTTTTCCTGTGGAGGTCAGGAACAATTTTGTAATGTTTTAGTGAGAGTTTTACTGCACTTGCAGCCCAATTAGGTCACATTAGTGTTTTGTGATACTTAAAAACGTCCTTGTTTTAGTGAGAGTTTTACTGCACTTGCAACACAATTAGGTCACATTAGAGCGGAAAATTAGAGGTGTTACAAGGCAGTAACAAACTACAAAAAAAGGAGGGACCTGCCAACCACCTGCTGAGAGAACATAAGTGTATATAAAGGAGGAGTCATTGCTGAATTATAGTTGGCTTAAAAAAAAGATAGTCATTCATGATTGAGAGAAATAAAAGTTTGTTTTGTTAGTTTTATTTTTCGATTAAATAAAAAAAACCTCCATGACACACAAAAACTGCAAAGTTTTATAAAACAAGATGGTTCACTCCTCTATTTGTAATACTTAAAAACGTCCTTGTTTTAAATAAGTGTTTTATGGCACTTGCAAACAAGAGCAAATAAGAATATTAAGCACAGGGCATATCAAACATTCTATCATTGTTTGACATCATTTCATAAAAGAACAGGACAGGGGAGTATTTAACCCTATCTGGACGCCTTGGGGTCATGTTGTACCCCCCGGGATTTCATTCTTCACATTTTTAGAATACTACTAGTACGAAGATCTCTTTGAAACTTTCAGTATTTCTCAAAAAAATCATTTTGACAGACTGCTATGCAAAGGGTACGTATCGGATTAACGAGTAAATTTCCTCTTCGGAAAGTGGTGGCACAGAGTTCCCCATGTCATATGGATACGATAGTAAAATATAACGTACGGATAGGGTTAACACGAAAAATCAACACAATGAAAGCAGCACTGACCTCTGTTCTATTCTCAACCCCTCCAACGGGTACAACACTTTGACCAGGCCGAAACTTGTAATCTGGGTGATCTTTGAGATCGTACACACTCATCTCACAATTTGCTTCTACCAACTTAGGTCTGAAATTTACAATCATCATAAAGGTAAGGAAGCGTAAGTACAGAAATGGTTCAGAAATTTTCAAGACATAACAATTTTATAATAAATACAAATTGTCATCACAGAATTATTACTACCAGTTCTAATAGAGTTGCAGTAGTTGTTACATTTTACTGTCCTTATTATAACCATCATTATCCATTTAACAAGAATGGTATGGAAAAAGCAAAGATTAAAACAGTGACCCATAAAAGGTTGGAAAAATGACTATTTTTCAACAATGGATTGCATGGGGGAAGGGGGGGTGAGAAAAAAAAAAAGAGAGAGTGGCTTACACCGAGTTGACAGCGGCTTTCCCAGCATCGTAGACCTGGTACCAGTGAACCTTGCAGGTCCTCTCAGCGTGGTCTGCACTGGCCACCACACCATAGTCGGCTGGTTCCACAAGATCTGAAACAGTATAAGAAAAAAAAAATGTACACATGATTTGTCTCCTGACTCAAATATGACCTAGTGATTGTAAAAGACAACCGAGAGAGAGAGAGAGACTTCCAACAAACTGATTCATACATTTTTGTTTTTCTGACACATCCGCGATCAATTTTCATAGTACTCCTCAATATACGAATGCTTGTGTGCATACATCATAACTTCAACCTGTGTATTCACAAGCGAGACAAAAACCCGGGGATATAAACGCTTGTCCACTTTCATACACTGGTTGTAAGTACCGGTACTGGGAATGTGCTTTCACCAAATGGTACTGGCTTAGGGAGGTGCACCAAGTATTTAGCACAGTGGGTGATGTGCCCTTGGAACTAAAGCCCCGATTACTGTGCAGTGTGTAGAAGCTGTGACGTTGAATGCACAGCACAAAGCACAAGGTGTCCTTGATACAGGTCATCGAGTTTAATACCATTGAGTTAAAAATTAACAACCCATTAAAAATAAAAAAATGTTTGTTATTTTGATATGCTGATTCTCAAAATGAAACCGGATTGTAACTCCGATATTTATTTTTAACAACTTGCTTGCAAAGTTTAATCCTGCGCAGCGGCAAATTTCAAAGGGATTCTGTGTCCCAGCTTGTCTCTCACAAGTATGACATAGATTGCATTTATATGACTTTATATAATTTAAGTCTGAAAACATTTCAATTAATTATTTTCGCAACACGTACTTCACCAAAGGTAAAAATGTCCTACAAATTGGGTCACCATACTAAGGTTAAAGCTAATTTCCTCCATTGATTTTACACCCGGAGTTACAAAACGTGGCATGGCTTTAAAACTCCTCAAAGTATTTGGAACATTTCTTAAATCAGCATGTTCAGCATTGAATTTGCAACAAGAAAATGCCCTTTTTTTAAATAACCAACATTTCTGACAAGGGGGACCTTTTCCAGGCACACACACATACACATATATATCAAATTTATAAAAATCCATTGAAAATGTAAGTTTCCTCTGTGTGTCTTGCATGTCACGGCTGTTCACGAGCAGTACTTTAGTTCTACCGGCACCCCGCAGCGCCCCGACGCTTAGCGTAACTCGAACCAGCCATTACCAATGGGTCAAGAGGTCAGCTCGGGGAATTTAACCTGACTGACAGATTCGCTATGAAAAAGTTAGTGCAGCAGTATTCAGCTTGTTTATCCTGCGACTAAGCCCAAACTACAACACCAACTGTGCATAAAACCGTATACTTTGAATAAGCATCATCTGAGATATTTCTTAGAGCAATCATGCAACTAACTAAGATAAAGAAATACGAGATGACGAAGAAAGAAAAGTGGATACATGTTTAAAATTGATGGAGGGTCATGATTTATTTAATTAAATTTGAACATGATAGCTGCAGTCGATTTTGACAATTCTAAGATATCAGGTCAGAAATTGAGTAAAGTTTCAAACTCACTAGGCTGCATCTGTGTGTCGTTGTCTAAAGAAAAGATATTAAGTCTTGAGAGGAGATTCGCAGCTTTTTGCAATATGTCCTCAGTTCCCAAAGTCCAGCTGTCACATGTGATGACTCTTGACTCTTGATAAAAACATATCTTTCTACGATCGCGGGCATCACCAGTCAGGGTGTCAGCACTTATAACTGCTTTTAAGCCTACTGTCACAATATTGGTAAACACACTATATAATTATTATTACATTTTAAGAAATGTTAGATTTGAAACAAAAAACACAAAAAAAATCTTGTGAACACTAAACAAAAGACGTCTATATCATTTTAAAATAGAAAAAAAATGACAGAAAAGCAACACAAAGTTGAAACTTGCGCTATTTGTACAGAAGACCTATCCCTTCTAGATTTAGAAAAAAGAATTGAAACTGATGGTGAATTTACGAAGTTTTTTTGCGTTTAAATTCAAATAACACTGAAATAGGAATCCAATTTGATAGAAACACGTCTTGGAGAACGTAGTCCGATAAAATCAAGGTTGTGAACTGAGATCGACCAAAGTTATATCGCCGTCTTGTAAGGGGAAAGCTGAGCTTTAAAATGGTGGGTCATACGGTGATATCACATCTTTAGATCTGGAGAGATCAGGGTGGGAATGACATCATAATTTGGAGGAAATGCATTATGCAGGCAGGCGGAGGCACGCCGCTGGCGTCACGGTAGTGAGCACGACTGACCGCTCATTTAATGACCAACACATGGGTGGCACTGCCCGTTGCCACGGGACAACTAAAGGAGCGGTTTCCGGGCGAGTTGAACAGCCGTGATGTGTCTATGGGGCAAAGGGTAAGGGAATCTCTTAGAAAATTATTATTTTAAAAACTTACAAGACTGATCAGCCTCTTACCAATGTTAGAGAGGACAAAATCTCCAGGAAAAAATTCCAGCTCATCTAAATGATGTACAGGGAAGAGTTCTACAGAGGGGATGTCACTTTCAATACTGCCATCCTGAAAACAGAGAGAGAGAAGTCAAATAATGAACAATGGTATGGGTTTAACGTCCCTATCAACACTATTAGCGTGACCTGTCACTCAGCTTGTAATAGCTCTCACCAGAATGTGAATGACAAAATAAGTGGGAAAAAAATCACAATGCTTTGAGTACGGTTTTAAAAACGCTGGATTCCTCTTCGATATAAATCTATACAAATCACCTTGTCCTACCCTTTCTCATGCCCTCACATCTTCAAAAGCAATTGCCTTAAAGAATGGACATAAAATATACTTTAGCTGATTCTTACACATTCCAAAACCTGGATTTGACAACTATTTTTTTTTTTATCCATCAAAAGCAAGTGTTCACACTTTGGAGAAAATTATAGACACAGAGGTAGTTTTGTAGTTAAAGCTGGAGAAAGAAAAATAAAAGATAACAAATAAAAAAACCCACAAAGACCTGAAACAATTAATAGGACCTCCAAATGATACCCTCAATAAAATAACAATAACGCTTAAAGAGAGTTTACAGTATAACGCTAAAAGAGAGTTTACAGAAACTGACTAGGACAATAGTACAGTAAAAACAAGAAGAAAAAACACCCATCAACCATCCATACATATCGCTACCTCGAAATTGCAAGGTTTTATCTGGGACGCTCAAAGTTGAAAAGAATCAGGAAACAACAAATGCAGTTTTTGGGACACCTGAATAGACATCTAGCTCTCACTGGCAAAATTGAAGGCAAACGAGGCAGGGGTAGGCCCAGAATAATCTACTTAGGAACCTAAACAAATGGGTAACAGAAAAAGATCAGGGAAACAGCTTTTTTGAGAGCATCCGAGCAAAGGAATGAATGGAGAACCATGTTCGCCGATGTCTGTCGCACTGCTCAGTACCTAGCTTTGATAAATTTGACGTCAAAGTTTCACAACATGATAAGTTTCTTTGAATGCAATTCTTTGAATATCTTGATAACAACTCCTAATAATCTTACCATTTTGATAGAGCAGATAGAACAATTGATTTCTGACCTCAAGGTCTTTGAAACTCGAAAAGGCCAAAAGTGTCAGATAGAACTTTGCAATTCTGAGGTAGCGATAAGCTGATGTAAAAAACCCAACTAAAGCAACAACACATACCTGCCACATCACTTTAGCCCAAGAGGTGGTGAATTCGGCCTCTACTTCCACTACCATGTCAGGCTTCACTACACGTTCTTTCCCACTTCTTTTGCAAGCTGTCCTCGGGTTTTGCTTGCTGGCTTTGTGCCGGAGAGACCCTGGCTTGAAGCCTCCTTTGTTTCTCTTCTTGCCCCGCCCTCCCGCTGCACGACTGCCAACAGAGCCCGACTTTTCGTCTTCTGCGTCGTCCGAATCTTCTCCTTCGTCCACATCCTCATAGTCTGTATCTCCTTCATCATCTCCGTCCTTCGCTCCTTGCTCATTGTTCGGTCCGCCCTGGAGAAAAAGGAAGATCAAACTTTCCCTACTTTCTAGAATGAAGTTTAATTAAGAAGGCTTTATTTCATATTTTAAAACTGATTTTTGCCCCAGAGTCTTGCATAGTCACAACCATCATCATTCGCCCTCCTTTCTTGCTTGCTACCAGTTCGTTTTATCCCAGATTTTCTACAAACCTTATACAAATAATTTAAAGCCGACATAAACTAGATTTATTTCTCAAACTTAATGTTTTCTTTTTATGTTTTAATTGGACATGCAAAACAGAAGAAGATTTAAATGACCAAATATTGATCTCCTAGCATCTTTAAAAAAAAGAAAGATACAATTTGATGAAAGCAACATGCACCTTCAGTATAGGCATGTCAAAAAGATGCAAGATAATCAATCAACTCATTAATAATAGAAACTTTAGAATAGAACCACTGCAAGTAACAGGTTTTCTACAGTGGTTCTGTTATTTACAAACTCAGCGTCCAAATAGGCATTACAGTAATTTTATTTTTTTCAGGAATAAATTTCTTCACAAACCAAATGTTCCAAAGGAGACAAAAAAGAGTTCTGTCGTAAAAAATGACCTACTTTTGACCAGTAGCGCATTCGACTTACTAAAAACAACCAGACACAAACCCCACCACTCTAAAGTAAAAATAATGATAGATTGCATTTATATAGCGCTCTATCCCATACGAGCATAAGCTCTGAGCGCTTCACATCAATCACATGTAAGTACAATAAATATATATAGAGCAGACTACAAACCGCATCATCATTGTTCTTGTCGTGGCCTGTGTCCCCTGTTCCCTGCACAATCTGAATCCCTGTGCCTTTGATCATGGCAGTGCTGGGGTCATAGGCTTTGCCAGGATCTACGGTCACAAGGTGATCATCGTTCTTGATGCGGTAGAGCATGCGATCCCCAATTTGAAGGCTGCAGCCGCTAAACCAGTCCAGGATCTTCAATCTGATTAGGGAGATTAGAATCTTGAAAATTCCTGCATGACATAGGGCTGCCTATCTCAAAGTACCCATTTCAGGCAGATTCAGGGTCAGTTTGAGGTATTTTGGCTAAAAATCAGGTAGTACAAAGAGAAAGGAGAAAAAGTTAAAAGATGAACATTACCCCGGTACACGTTGTTACTATTGAGAGGAGCTTACTTTTCATATTATGTAATTATATTTGTAAAACTTTGTGTGAGTGCACATGTATTTGTATGTGTGCGTGTGTGAGCGCGTGCGTGTGTGTGCGAGTGTATGTGTGTGTGCGTGTGTGTGGAGGGGGTTTTGTTAAGTGTGCTATGAAGAAATTAAAATTTAGCACTTTTCTGGGTTGGTGATGGCATTTTTTCTACTGCCACTAAAACTCAATTTGTCATCGCACCTTTGAAAGTATGCAAATATGGGAACATCATCCGTGACGATACAAGCACCAAGCCTGTACTCTAATTTTCCTTCAATTCCTTTGATTGTCGAATGTCATAACCTCAGAGTCAGGGCACCATTTTTTATATTTTAGCATCAATTTCTTCAATTGTGGCCTTATCCTGCTGCCTTTTCTTAACTCATTCGCTACGCTGAGCCGTGGGGGGGCGGCGCGGCTAAAGTGCCGTCAGTACGCTAAGCCACCCCCGGGGGCTCGAGAACCAATCTTCAATTTTAGCTTAGATTATTTTCCAATCCACATATCCATGTTAAAATAAAGGTGATAATATAAAGTTGACTTCCGGGTCAAGCGTTTCCACCGAAAATCGAAAGTTTTGATTCAGTTTTGAAACATGATCTCGAAGTTCATGCGACTTTGTTTTATCGCGATGCTCAAAATATAGCCCAGACACCAGTCTTACTACTTTTACACAATAAAATATATCATTATTTTGCACACTAAAGAAATGTAGGACTCTTCGTTAGAATATTGATACAATTGGGCTCAAATTGCCACTGTTCTGTTATTGAGAAATCAATATTTTTTAGTGCTAGATCTTGATCTATATAGATCTAAATTGTCAAATTATTTTTTTCTCTAAAAAATCACTATTTTTTGTGAAATTACACAAAAAGTACCACTCGAGACATGTGTAGGTTTATTCCAAATACAATTCTGAAAAATTCCATATACGATACGAGAGGTTTTTTTTCGTTTCTGAATGCATCTTGTCCATTTTTCAAAATTAGAAAATTTTTAAAATTTTTTTTTTCAATATCGGATGTCAAGATCCAAATGGGCAAAATTTATGGAATGTATATAAATAACTGCAAATTTTTCAATATTTTCCATTTCTATATTCATTTATCTTTATTTTGATCTATCATTTGACTAGGTGCAAACATATTTTTTTAGTTTCACCGAAGAGGATTAATTTTCTATTTTCAAATTTTATCCGCATCCAAGAAAAATTGTGTTGCATAATCGCCTCTTACACGGAAAAGTCGAAAAATACACAAATAAACATTACAGATGTATTCTACAAATCATACTGAAAATTTCGATGCATAATATGTTAATATTTATTTGAATTTGTGGCCCCAAAGACCTTTGAACTGCGCACTAGTCATCATCTCATTTCGCCTTCCCGAAGAAAATTTGTCCACAAGCCGAAAATAATACGCAGCGAATGAATTAAAACAGCGGGATCTGAAGCGAACCGGGATCACAAGCAATGGGATCTTAAGCGGAGATTACTGTTTTACAAATCAAGACATCAAGACATTTTTTACATAAGGATTAAAAACCCTTTGAATTCCAGACAAATCCTTCAAATGGCAGCCCTGTACATGATAAACATGTTCTACCTAAATGTATGAGACGATACGCATAAATAAAACAAAAGCAAAAAACACACCTAGCGACAGCTTCTCCCTCAATGCTGCGAGGAGGAGGAGTAGAGACACCATCTGGCCCGTTGCTGCCTCCAAATACCCAGTGCACACCAACACTTCTCGTTTCAATCTAAAGGCAGGAAAAAACAACAACTTTGAAGTGCATTGAAAAAGAGGTACTTGTTTTAGTAAGTGTGTTACGGTACTTGTTTTAGTAAGTGTGTTACGGTACTTGTTTTAGTAAGTGTGTTACGGTACTTGAAAACAATAAGGTCATATAAGTGCTGAAGATTAGAGGTGTTACAAGAGAGTAACAAACAGAAAAAAGGAGGGCAGATAAAGATGATAGATGTTTGATAGGAAAGAAGAAGCAAACCACACCAGAGCACACGCCAACCACCCACAAAAGAGGTAAAGAGGTATCAACCTGGTTGCATCTCCGTCTTCTCACAAACCTAACAGACAGGGTCACCAATGAGCAAGTGTTAATGAAAACAAGACAGAGTCCAGTCAGAGATGAGGTGCTGTTGCATAACAAGGAAAATGTTGGACTGGAATCCATAGGGTAAAAGATCCTGAGGAAGACCACGTGGAACCTGGAGAAGAGTCACAGAAATTGATGTACAGAAGAGTGGGAAGACATGGAATAACATCAAGAAGCTAGCCAGGGATAGGGAAAGGTAGAAAGTGTTTGTTCATGGCCTATGTCCTGATCCAGGGTGAGTACTTTCTACCTCAATTCACACCGAAAATGTTCATTTCTGGGATAACAGACAAGATCAACATTAATGAGTAATAATTCTATCTCCCTCTCTGCTCTCCCCTTGCCCAACAAAGTTTTCCACCTCTCCCTCTTTTCCCCTATTTCAGAGTCTCTCAAAAATAAACATCAGACTTCATTTTTCAATCTCATGCACGAATTGATCATCTTGACAAGAAATCCAAAAACACGAAAAGAGACAAAGAGAAAGCAATTTGTGACAACATGAGCCTTGGCGTTGAAAGACATAAAAGTAAAACAATACAGAAATGATAACAACTTTAACGCCATTTATCTTTTTTCTGTTAAGTATACAGGCTCCGAGCCTTAATGTGGCAATCTACACAACCCTCCAAATATTCAAACCGGAAACACTTTTGCTTTCTGAGATCGAGACACAATTCCACAGTTGACGAAAATAAGGATAAAGCTTTACCTTTTCAATGGTAACATAAACAATTTGGCTTTTCCCAATTTTGTTAGCAGCTTTGTGACCGTATCGCGGGGTAGAGTGCAGCCATTTCGCATCACACAAAGCATCCATGGGACCTCGGAGCTTCTGACCAGGGTAGTGGAGGCACATGCTGAACTCTCCGTGCTGCACAACCAACGACAAAAAATTTTAAAAAAAATCACTTTATACATAAAATCTAAGTCATGCTGATGTCAAAATCAATTGCCAAAGACAAATTTATCGAAACAACAAAAAAAAATTGTAATAAATTAATATGCCTATTCTCCCAAGTGCTACTAGCAGGCAGGAATCATCAAAACCACCACGTACATAATACAGCATGATACAAGGGATACCACTCAATCACAACAACCTGTTCGATTACTCAATTAATCATGACATCAGCTGACAACAAATTATACACAAATGTAAGTCATGCTGATGTCAAAATCAATTGCCAAAGACAACATTTATTGAAACAAAATTTTTTTAATAAATAATATGTGCAAGGCAAGAATGACAAATCTACATGTGAAGTCGATTACTCAATTAATCATGTCATTAGCTGACAACAAATAAACCTATTAGCAAATGTTTACCACATACAAAAATGATGTAAAGATATTGGTGGAAATGAAAATGTTCTGTTCAAATGTGAACTTTTCCCAGGTAAAGATTTACGTTGTTAGATAAAAACTAAAAATGGCCAGAGTCATTCTCTCTAAACATCAGTCTCAGGCTAGGTCATTTTGAAGCATACCACAGACAATTGAGCTCATTAACCACATTGTTTGCTTTTTTCTTGTTATCTTTATTTTTTTTACTGCTTTCCACTTGACATTTCAAAAAGTAAAACTTTCTTTAAAGATTTGCAAGTCCGCTGCTTTCTCTGTTACTGAGATTACCATACTGCTCTTTTCTTAATCCATATTATTTAGTAATTTCATTAACTTCAGTGAAGAAAAGCTGATGAATTTGAGAAATTATGGCAATGAATATCATAAATAATCTATTTGACAGCAAATGCACTAAGGGATGAATTCACCCTGCAAAGTTTGTACGCCTCATTTAATTGTTAATCTAAAAGACAGAAAATGAACTACCGACAATGTGTGTGACAATGCGGCATGATTTTCCGATGCCTCTCTGACGATGAATTATTGACCTGAGAACTTTTTACGAAATATGGTCTCGTGGACTTGAAATACGTAATAAAACACCATACATTACAACTGAAGTTAGGAAGTAATCGGAGCACTCCCAGCTGTGGACTCTTTATTCTTGTCACTGTGCTCTCAAAGTTCTCAAAGTAATCATCATTTCACTCAAAATGCTTGTCCCTGTACAACAACCGTAAAACGAAAATACAAACCCTTTGTTTTTCTGTTATATCCTCATACATCACAATGTCACCCTCATCAACCCTGCACCTGTTTGAAAGAAACCAAAACTTAGTCTTTAGTTTTATTAAGAGTTTTACGGCACTTACAACACTATAGGGTCATATAAGTGCCGAGATTAGATGTGTTACAAGAGAGTAACATATTTAAAAAAAGGAGGAGAGATCAGGACGATAGGTGTTTGATAGGAAAGAAGGAGCAAACCACACCTGAGCACCCACCAACTACCCGCAAACTTAGTCTGAGCTCAAGAGCACATTGGTAAAATAGCAGTCGTTTTATTTATTTTTTTAGTAGAGGTTTTACAGCGCTCGCAACTGCATTAGGTCATATGAACGCCAAGGGGTGGATGTCAACAGAGAAGTCCTTACAGGGAATCAAGACTTACTATGCTCACCTCTCTAGCTTCAACAGCACAAAATCTGCTTCGACTATCAAGGCATCCCGGAAAGAGCAGGCCCCAAGAGTGTGACAAACATACGACAGAAGTAGAGGAAAACGACGATAGTAAGGATTAGGAAAGGAAAAGCAGCAGTTCCCTTTTGCAGCTCAGGCACAGTTATGAGCATGACATTGATGAATCCGCCTATTTACAATTCTACTGTGCATAAGAACATGGTTAATGTGTCCCCCCCCCCTTATGAATGGCCTAAAAACACTTCAGTCAGTGGCACCGCCCCGGGGGTAGCAGTCGTTTCATACTGGGAACAAGCAACTCAGGGACAATAGAGAGACGACAATGAAGTAGGACCAACCAGTCGCACCTCCAACCAGTCTATGAAATCTAAGAATACAGTTCCAGTCATTGAACAAATAGATAATACTATAATCAAGAGGACTTCATATAAAATACAAAATGCGCAGTACACTATGACCTGACAGACAAGACCCATACACACAGGAAATGACAGCTATAGCAGTGGACTAACAAACGCAAGGGACGACGGATGTCTTTAATATTAATATAATGCAAGAACAGTTCGCTATCCATCCACTGCTTCATTCCATCTCCACATTTGATGAGCAAAGGAGTTTTATAAATATTTGTTCTATCCTCCCACTTAATATGAACAACTTAATGAAATCAGCAGCTACAGGTCTGTTAATGAAAGTAGGTAGCTATTTTTTCTATTGTCAATTTAAAATTCAGAATTTATTTTCATAGAGCACAGAAATGTCTGAAATATGGAGATGGGAAGAAAACTGGTCTCAATAAAATTTTTTTTGTTATACATGGACCATATGTAATGATATCTATACACATAAGGAACAACTGTAACGGTACTCAAATTTGAGAATAAAAAAGACATTTTATAATCACCTGGCGCCGTCAGCAAAGACAAGTACAGTGTCCACTATGACGGTTTCCACCTTGCCCCACCACAAGTCTAAGATCACCTCCTGCCCGCTCTCAAATTTCTAAAAAGAAAGGATAACATTTTGTGGGAGTTGTGTGAAAGTCTTTAAAAAAGTAGAATGTAAGCAGTAATACAAAAAAGAAGCAACCCTTCCAAAAATTTTAAAAACTTAATTAAAAAAAGGGAGACTGGTTAGACAACTCAGAAACTATCATATTTTTTGGCATAATGGCAGAGCACAACAATTTTACAACAGGCTGGATTGACACTGTACGTATATATTCTATATATTTTTTAATCTACAAAATTTTTGTTTACATTCATCATCATCCGGTGCCTTGCCGACTGGCGTGGGCGATCATGGACCTCCACTTCCATCTGTCTTTCGAAGCAGCAATGGTGTCTGTTGTTCTTGCTGCTCCCAGCCATGTTGTCATCTTGTCCAGTATCTTTTCCCTCTGTCTGCCTCTACCTCTCTTTCCATCAAACTTTCCTGTTGTTACAATGTTCTCTAATGCTTCTTGCCGCATTGTGTGTCCGAAAAAATTTGCCTGTCGTTTTCTTATATTCGTGATAAGTTGTTTTCTATAATTTGCTTCAACCAGGACTTCCTTCATTTGTTTTTCTAGCTGTCCATGGGATACGTAGCATGCGTCTCATGAACCACAACTCTGCCGCAACAATTGTTCTTTCCAGCTGTTTATTGATTGTCCATGCTTCGCACCCGTATAATAGGATTGGCTCGATGTAACTTTTCATTACTCTTTTCCTCATTTCCAGTGACAGATTGATGTTTGTTAGTATCTGTTTCATCTTGTGGAAGGTTGCTTTTGCTTGGCAAATGCGGCTTTTAATTTCGGTGTGACATCTACCATCTGATGATATAATGGTCCCCAAATATCTAAAATGTTGTACTTGCTTGAGGGTGGTATCACTGATTTTGATATTGCATGTTGGGATTGGAGTATTTCTGCTTATCACCATCGTTACGGTTTTCTTGATGTTTAGGCTTAAGCCCATGTTGTCACTCTCTGCTATCTTAGATTGTTTATATTATGTCCCCCTATCAAGATACCAGGCATTTCTTCTATGTGTCTCATGATATTTTCACTATACAGGGAGAACAAGTCTGGAGAAAGTACACATCCTTGTCTGACTCCTCTTTTAATCTGTATGTATTCGCTGATGTCGTTTTCTATTCTCATTGCAGCCGTTTGATCCCAGTACATGTTTTTGATAATCCGTAAATCCTTCCCGTCGATATTAAGAACTTCCAGCATGTCGATGATCTTGTCATGCCTGATTTTGTCGAATGCCTTGGTGTAGTCTATAAAACATAAATGAAGATCTTTCGGAACTTCTAGGGCACGTTCTATTGTTGTTCTGATGACATATATGGCATTTACAGTGCTTTTGCCTTCAATAAATCCACATTGTTCTTGGGCTATTTCTGGGAGAATTTTATTTCTTATTCTCATCATATTGTTTACATTAATAACAGAAAAAAAAGATAAACAAGAAGTGTTACAGATAAACCAGAGAACAATCCACTGATAGTGATACACCGACAGGTAACAAAATAAGAGGGTAACAAACCAGTATAGGCTCCAAATCTTTTGAATCCACATTATAAAGGTATTTGTTTGAACGCAGAATGTGAAGATGAGCTCGAACTTCCATATTCATGACAAATCCACACTGTGTGTCTTGACCAGGGATGAGCCTACGTACAACATCCCCTGGCATCAAAGATCTGTCCACCAGTTTCACCTGCGAAGAAAAAGACATGCTCAGTCTCTAAATCAGTGCCTGTCAACCCTTTTAGAGCTAGCTAAAACTTTTGCTCCCTTTACAAGGCTATGATTTTCGTACCATCCGTAGCTAAATGTATTTGTATCACAACGCGGCGGAAAGAGGCGCTCGTCAATTTTGGGACATTTAAAGTTATTGGTATCGCCTTAATTTTTTTTCATTTGCCTTTCTTTTAGTGCAAAATATACCCATCTATCTTGAACAAAAGTCAAGATATTTGCACGATTGAAGGAGGTGAAGTCACCTGATTTCAGTCGTGAAATGAGCGAGAAAGTGGTTGCAAAAGTTTGGCAGCTCCATCAGCTAAAGAGTCCTTGAAAACAGAAAAATGACATATTTTGTGCCTTTAATCAACATGTTTCAGTAAACTTCACAAGGAAATGTGTTTTTATACAAACTTAAAAGAAGTTGAGCCAAAAAACAAAAATTCGATATAAATTGCCAAATTGATGAAAAAATGTTTGCTTCTTTGATTTCGTTATTTTGACGAGCACCTGATTTCACCATGATGCCTGACATTTCCAAGAAGGACCAAAGATAGTACAGCCTACGGTAAGATGATGCACTGGCCCAATTTTGTGAGGCACATCGACCCCCAGCGCCACAAGCGGAGAGCGTGCGACAGTCTGTAAACAAACACGCTGAGTGACACGCAACGCTCATGCTGTCGGCATACGGTGGCCAGTTTTGTTCAGCGATCAGCCGTTCTAATTCCAGAGGAATTACCAAATAATTGTTCCAAAGGACGCAAAAAGGAAAGACAATGTCAAATTGATTTTTTAATCTAGAGTTTAGATTAGAGCTAAACCAAAGAGGTCAGAGTAAAGCCTGTAAGCTTTGTTTACTCTCTGCATTATGCATCCTTGTATGACCAATGCTTTGTACTCTGCACTTTGTTGTGTGTGGGTCCATTTCATTAGGTGTAGAACTAGATTCTAGATGTAAATGAAAATGTTATATAGACCTATATGTTTTCAGTGTTGTAGGTTATTATGTAATTTGTTCTTTAGCACAACACAGAGAGATCAGTATTTTGCATTTTATTAACTTGTAACTTTTTATGACGTATGGGCCATTGGCCTCGAAAGTCAATAAAATCAAATTCAATTCTCTCTTACTACAAATACTCATACAAACATGTACGCACGCACACACACACACCATATGTCCTGACCTCTTCTGTACATTTTATCATCATCACGGCCACCATCACATCCACCTCCACAACCATCTAGCGGCGGTAGGTGGACCAAGATTTGTGTGGGGCTTAGGTTGGTGCCACTTCTTTACTACAAAAAATCAAGCACTAAGAGCTCAACAGCGATGATTTTTCTATACTCACGGTGAGCCACGGCATTTTAAGAACCATTCAAACGAAGAGAATCAACTTTGTCTTCCATCTCTTTATTCAAAGTTAGCTCTAGTCTAGATTCTCCTGGATGGCGAGGACGAAACCGTTTCAACAACAAATTTTTTCTAACTAATTTTCATCTGATGAAAAAGTTGCCTTAAAAGTCGTTCGACGTGATTTATAACACTTAAATCTCAGCGGCACACACAGCACCTCATGCATATTATTATTCCGTCTATGATGAGCTGGTTTCAGCCGCGTAGTCGAGGAAAATTGAAAGCACCTAACAAATGTCCAATGAGTGCATGGGTGACTATGTCACTGGGGAGAGTGTGTCGTAAACTTTCATCCCATTGTCAAGGCTAGGAGAGCAGGAGCCCTTAGAAAAGAGAGAGTGAGTTAATAAGATATATATACTTTTATGTTGTATTCTTTGTATTCTCTCTCTCTCTCACTCACTCAGTCACCCACTCATCTATCTCTCTGTGCGCAGGTTTGTCGTTTTAACTGTAGTAGCCTATTAGTTCTCTCCCCCCTCTCTACCTCTATTCTGCTATTGCAGCGTTCCCTGGTATATCTAATACTAATTTACGCTATCTTTTGATTTGTAATAATGCATACTCCTAACCTAAAGATCCTGTCATCAATACTATCTCATCTATACGATCAATAATATTGCATTGGATATATTCTAGGCCTAGATTTCGTGATAGTCAATGTGTAGGCCTAGATCTAGATCTAGATTTAGTAGATCGTGAGCCTATGCACCCGGTACCGGTACACTATCCTCTGATCTTATCACTCGTTACCGAAGTGAGACTATTTTTAAATCTAATGTTTTTCTTTTTAAATAATTTAGATCTAGATAAATTATTGGAATACGTTGATCAATACTTTAGTTTGGTAGATACAACTACATAATTATTTAGATCTAGATCTAGATTACATTGAACAATGGGCCCTAGAGTAGGATTAACTAGGACGCTCTTATAAGCCTACTCTATCCAACAAGCCCAGCGCCTATCCATTGGGGCTCAGTCACACGCTCGCAGGGGGCGTGGCCTATTTTTACGCTGGCACGTTTTTTTAAGAGAGTGAAAGAGGCAGCTGCAGCATCTTACCGTAGGGTGTAGTATCTGTGGTAGGACATTGAATAATTCCTGTCACTATGCAGGATATCCCCACTACCCAGCAAAATTACAAAACCATCCACAGTGGCGATATACAATATTTAGATGCATGACGCATTATTTGCAACATAAGAGTTTATAAGCAAGCTTGTTCATCACTTAACTTTATGAAGGCCACCATTATCTTAAATAATTAATATAAGCCAAAGTTAGTGTTGGCGTTGATGTACATCTGAGATGTTTGAGACATGGATTGATATCAAGTAGGAGTCAAGTTTTCAGGTTTGAAAACATTTCTTATCATAGGGTAAGTAAGGAAATCTAAATTAATTATAGTGTATATGTATAAATTTCAACTTCTGCAGTAAAAGATGAAACTATTTTAGCCATTGCTAACTTCAGATTTATAAACTTGTGGACCATTGCTGCAGAGCCTGATGAGCATCTTTTAAATTCTTAAAATTACCAACACATGCTGTAAGACAACATATGAGAGTAGAAAATCCCATTTGAAATTCTCAATTTGGAAATAACAAGGATTTACTACTCCAGAAGTGTCGAAAATAACGAGGGTGTTGTTCTCAAAACAGGTGAGGGGAGACATTACAATATTTTAGTATAATTCTTATAATGATTTGAATACAGTATCAGTGTTAAAAGTGTTTTGCCAAACCATATATATGTGTGTCACGATGCAATGGTATCAGGCACAGTCACTTTTTGGGCACATGGATGGAGTTGTTATTGGTAGCATCTTAAAACCTGTTTGTATCCCTTGCTTTTGATGAAAAAATACCCATCTATCTTGAATAAAAGTGGAGATATTTGCCAAATGATCTGCTGCCAGAGGTAAAATTAGCAAGAAAATGGCTGCCAAGTTGGGCGATTTCCAAAGCTTAAGTGTCTTTGGAAACTGTCAGTTCATATTTTAGTGCCTTTGATCTCTACATTTTTCAGCACTAACCACACAAGGAAAGTGTTTTTTAAAAGACCACAGAAAGTGTTGATCATAAAACAAAATAAAGATTGATAAAAATTGCCCAACTGTCGGAAAAATGTTGATTTCTTCGATTTTATTATTTTGAAGAGCGCCTGATTCCTCCATGATGCCACATACCTATAAAAACCTTACTTAGTAGGCGAACACAGGGAATGGCACTGACTTTTGACTTTGAACAAGCTGGTGTAAAACAAACGAGGCTATTCGGACTCAAATTCCAATGTGTGTGCGCAATCACTAGGTGTACCGGGTGGTGTGAAGCAGACAAACAATTCGGCCTTGGCCTTCCTCGGTTTCTACGATCAGGCCAAGGAACTTACAACAAATGGACGCCGACCGTGGTGACCCAGTGCGAACTGTGGTCTTTTCTTTACAAATGATAATAATAGTACGGCCGGGCAGTGGGCAACGGTATGGGGAATAAAAATCTATATATGCAAAAAAAAAGGGGTGAAGGTGGTGGGGCGGGCCTTTGGAATAGCCTACCAGTAGTTTAAAATCTGAATAGCAATGGGAGACTATTCGGATTCGAGTATAGACCTCGCTTACACGGTACAACCGGTGATTGCGCATGCGCACAGGTATTTGAGTCTGCAGCGGTTGTTCGGACTCGAGTCCAAATAGCCACTTCGAACTAAAGAGCAGACCTGCCACTCTATGAAACCTCAAAATCAGGATCTCAGAGGGGAAAAATCGGGATTTGGTGAAAAAAATCGGGATCAACAGCAAATCACCAAGGTGACTGCCAAGCTGACTTAAAATTTTTTCAGGGATGTCCATAAATAAATAGGCCTATACGCCCTCTGTGTGTCTTTGTTTGCATGCGTGCGCGCATGTGTGTGTGTGTGTTTGTATGCGTGCGATACCATTGTTTTTTGTAAATCCTAAAGCATCACGTCAAGCATTCCTAGTCCAGATGTGTAAAAACACCCCCCACTCACCTCCCCCCAACCAATAAGTCTCGAATGAACTTAAGTTGACCCCGTCAACGGATGGTCCCCGACATGCGGAACTCACATGGCGAAGTCATGTCACATGATGCGAGCGCGCAATTGAAACAGTTTTACAGACGGGCCTAACTAACTGCGCGTTCACACAAAACACTTGTAAGGATGAGCGACAGTCGTTCTACTTCTAGGATAACAACGGCGGCTGACAGACTAAATGTACCAACAAATCTCTTGTGTTCAGACCAAAGCAAAGACAACGGCCGTACGTCAGTATTGCACAGTTAGTTGTGTAAGGGTTAGAATGACTGTTGCTCGTCGGAGTGTTTGATGTGAACTCGCAGTTACCAGACCTCGCACAAGGCTTGTTTTGAAAGTAACAGCGGAACTACGAATATTATCGATTGTTTGTATGTCCCAAATCGTAACAGTTATCAGGCTATCATCGGAGAGTTCTGAGTGCGAGCAAAGATCAAACACAACTTGGGGCGAGTCAACTACTAAGCCCGGCATCGACAGTTCGGAAAATAATACTTCAAGTTCATACTGACAAAAAGTTCAACGGGTGCTTCCCGCGATAAAGAAGAAGGCAGAGTAACTTTTCAGAAAAATCCGGCACAACAGCAGACTGGGACAAAAAATTGGGATGCACGTGATCGAAATCAGGCAAATCAGGATGCTTGAGACTTGGAGCAAAAAATCGGGACATCCCGACTAAATCAGGATGAGTGGCAGGTTTGAAAAAGCAAGGGGCAGGACCTTAGTCAAGATTATCAGCACAAAACAAAGCACACATCATGTTGCGGGGTTGGGGGTAAAGATTCTCCTGGAGACTGCTGCGACGAATAACAATAAGGAAGTACTTCCGCAACGAGCGATCGCCCCAACAAACACAATAAATCAATAAAAGAAGAGACCTACCCCTACCCGTTCATGTCTCATAGTGGTCGCTCGTTACGGAAGTCCTCCCAACAATATAATGTAAGTCCGATAATGTAATCTAGATCTGTTGACTCATCAGATATATGTGTAAATCTAGCCTAATCGTGTAGTTTGTTGTTTAGTTTCTGCTAGATCTATTTGTATTTATTAAAAGGCAAGCCTGGGGTTTATAATCAGCCCAGTAATCATATTGAATGTCTTCTCAGAAATAATTAGAATTTGAATTTGGTTTTAAGGAAAGTGATTTGTCGCTTGTCAAGTCCAAGTTAGACCCAAAGTCTCAAGGACTAATCAGGTTGTTTAACCTAGAATACTAGATTCTGGGCTAGACCTCTATTTAGCAGTTAGCAAGGCCTCTCTGTAATACCTTGTTTTCAGGGACCACCGTCTCTTTGCCGGATGGGTGCCATGCAACTCGAACAGTTCCTTTTTGGAGACGATCTTCTGGTTTGTCGGTCTCATCTTCATCACTGCTACTTACGTATTCAGAGTTTTCTAATACTAAACCGAATTTATAACCTTTTCCTGAATTGTAAACATAAACTTCGTCTTCCTCAAACAGACTGCAGGTATCCATTTTAGGCCGATGGTGATGGGCGATGGGTGATTTGTGGGAATGAGTGAACGTAAAATTGAGAGCAGCTGAACTCTTTGACTCCAGACCAGAAGATTCACGGGTTTTCCCTGGGGTAGGCTAGCCTTCTATCTGAACGCAACGTAGGTTCATTATTGATTTAAATCTTGGACTAACGATTTAACTGCTTTCAAATAGAATCTAAAGCACCCTTATTATTTTTCACCCTTAATTTTGCATTAAAATTTTTTTTTTTTTTTTTTACAAATGTACTAGATATCTAGCAAATATCCAAACTTTATAAAAATTAAATAAGCGAGATCACAGAGCTCCGAAATATTGAAGTTTACAATTTTGATACCGTATTTCGTTTCACTACTTTCATCAATGCCATTGCCAACTCCAACATTTTTACAAGATTCTACAACAAACATCACTACCTAAACATGGCTGCTTCATCTGCACTCCGTCTTATTTCCTCAAAGTCACAGCCTTTGATACTGAGCTCTACAAAATTAGCGAATATAAGCAAAGCAATTCAGCTTCGCAGTATCACAACACAAGACACAGGTGCTGTTCTTGCTAAACCGACGCAAGTTCGATTTGGCATATTTAAGGTAAGTACATCTAAGAAGAAGTGTAAATGGGCGATTTTGTAGTTTCGAGTTTCGTTCGTTAACTTAACCCTCATCCTGCGGGAGCCGGGTTTATGTAGCCCGATAAGCCTATTTCGGCACCTCGCCTGCGTTCTGGTCCTGAGTCA